CGTGACAGGCAATGAAAGGAGTGACCACCAACGAAAAAGAATGATACTTTTATTTTCCACAGATTTTTAAAGGTACTTTGCTACATAGTTCATGTATTTTCTATCAGGCTATACAGGTTCGTCTGCATGGAGTCCGACGTTGTACAACTGTAAAGTGATATGTTTGGTAGTGTATCTATAACGTTTTAAAAAGTTTAGAGTTCTCTCTCTTTTTTTTTCTTTTTTTTTTTTTTTTAATTTTTTTTTTTGGAATGTACAGTATATGAGGTAAAATTAAGATTACATTAAAAACTGTCTTCAATGCAGTAATACGCACTGAGGCTCAAATGGCAAATACACTATTAAATGACTATCAAAAATAGGAGCTCATTTGAATTTTACTATGAAAAACATAAGTCACTGCAGATTAACTGTAGTGACAAATCTTACTGTTTTAGACATTCGACCGTAAGAAATCTCTAAGCTGTTACACGCAACCTCATTTGCACTGCCAAACATGGCACTTTTAAGAAGGTTCTAGAAAACATCAGTTATCGCGGTATCCTGCGGGGAAGGTATCAGCCTATACGTACAAATGACAAATTTGAAATAAAATGTAAACATACAGTACATTTTAAAGACAGGTCGTTCTCGCCACGTGGAGGCTGAGTTCTTCGCCATTTCTTTCTTTTCTTTTTTTTTTTTTTTAAAAAAAACCCCCCCGAAACTCAGCAACAGTATTCTACAGCACAGATCATTGGACGTATAAACAATTACAATACATGCCCGTTCTAATATAAGAGAAATTCTTCAGAGATCTTCAAAGCACAAGACAGAGGTTCCTTTTTTTTTATTATTATTAAGACCGACAGAAGTGTTTAATACCATTAAAAATGCTAAACTGAACACAACTAGAAGTCATTAATGATCCACTATCTCGTAACTCAAATAAATTAAAAATAGCTAATTACAAAGTGTATAACAACATAAGTGTGATGAGACAAGGATTATTTTTTTTTTTTAAAAGATAGTTTCACTACAAGCTTCTGTGTCACTGGCAATCATTGACATCTAGCAAGATGTTCAATGGGATACTTGAAAAAATTCAGTCTGGTCATTCAAGAACTCACAAATGCAAGCTCACAAAACATTGATGAGTTATGCAACTGCAAAGTGCTCTAATGCAACATTAACTACATGCAATCAACAATTTGGTACAGTATCCAAAGAGACATTACATTAAACATCAGGATCTCAAGAAAAAAGCAGCTTTAAGTTCTCTGGTGCAAATTACTACACTTCGTCTTCTGATTTGGTGCCCCAAGGAAAGAAAGAAAGAAAAAGAAAAAAAACAACAACAAAAAAAGGCAGTGGTTGATTCTGGTGGATATGGCAAGTGAATGTTGGGGAAACAGCAAAAACTCAATAACGGATTTTATCTCAAAAATCTATTAACTAGCCAAAATCAGAGGGCACAGACATCTGTATAAACTGCATCCAAATCAAAGGTCAACTTTGGAAATGTGTTTTTCAATTTAAATAATTAAGTCTAAGTAGTTCTCTCGCACTCTCCCTTCCATATTTGTAAGAAGACAAAGAGGCATTTTTGCAAGTAAACATCAAATCCTGGGGGTAAGATAAACCACTTGTGCCATCCCCTTGTAGTCTTTCAAAAAGATCTACTTGCGGTGAAGAACTCCACATTTATCAGATAAGAAGCTTCCTTCATGCATATTCTTCCATCCGGTTTATTATTTGCTGCCTGAGAAAAGCCCCTTCTGTTTTTCAGCATAAATCCTGCTTCCCAAATAATTAAGACAAATGAGGAGGTAGAAATACAGCGCTAAATTGCTTTCACAGCATCGGATTAATATTGTATACAGCACAAGTTTGTTAGTGTTTTAAATGCGATCTACACATTCTTCCCTGTTATGGTAGCAACCCTTTAAAGTGTGGGCCAGGAAACCATATATTTATTTATTTTTTTTAACACTCGTGTTTACTGGTCAAGCCTTTTTCATGAAACACTGCTTGCCTGCCCTGTACTGCAAGAAGGCATATTAAAGGAAAAGATTGTATTTCTGTGGCTTGCATTCTAATAACACGTGTCAGCCTATACCTACCAGTAAGCGTCTGAAAGTGGCTGAAAAGGTTTGCATCAGTCCCAATGCCGGTGCTAAATGCCTGTTTTTGTAAAAGCAAGAGAACAGAATTACTTCTAGATTATGAGAAAGCAAAATGTAATGGGCAGCGTTCTAAAATAAATCTCTCTCTTCACTTTATTACGAAGTACTGAATGATAACAGCAATCAGAATGGAAAAGATAGCAAAAAGTGCAAGGATGACGGCAGCACACACTTGGTCGCTCTGTGACCATTGTGTCCTTGTGGTTTGCACAGTGTCCTTGTTGGCGCTCGCCGGTGGTTCAGTCCTCTGAGAGATGAATAGCACTGGTGCGCTGTAGGGGCCTACCAGGTCCTGATGACCTACTGTCTCTTGGCACTGGCGAATGGCACACGCGCGGAAACGGTATTCACAGTTCAGCTGCAGGCCTGTGTATCGGAATGACCAGTCCGGGCCCTTATAAATCTGGCAATAAAGAGAAAAAAAAAAAAGGATACATCAAGTAAAGACGCCCTACGTACACATATATATCTCAGTATGGTTTTGTTTATGGTGAAGGTAACTGTAAAAAACGTGACTCCTCACTAGTGTTTTCACCCACGCGAAGAAAAACAGACAAAAAGCTCAACAAATGCACTTTAAATGCCAGATAAAGTCTCCAGTCTTTTTGGTGAAACAGAGGAAAAGAAATATGAGGGCTTTTATGGCACGATGAGGACACGCCAAATAAACTCTGTCAGCAGCCCCTGTGCTAAGGTGTGTTTAGTGACCACTTACAACATGAACACTATACCGTAGGATGTATATAGAGTATTGCATCACAGGATTTTAGGGAAGGAACTCTGCACCAAGCTACTTCACTAAGTCTAATCCAATCCAACATACTTTGTTGCAGTTAAGATATTGTGTGTTTAAAATATTATCATTTATCCCAACAAACACTGTATCACGAAAGCCATACGGAGCCCTCTCCGAGATTCCTGATTCCATCAGATCCCAAGACACAGATGACTTTTATTAGGGTGTTCTCCACGGGCCTCTCAGTTGGCTGGTTAACACAGGAGACTCTCAAGTTCAGTTCACTGGCATGGAGTGCCTAACTCAGTGAAATCTAAATGCTGGTTTCCCAAATTCATTAATTTGCAGCTACGTAAAGGTCCACGCAGGCGCAATTTTTGGTTTACAAGTATATAGGTTTACAGAGCTATTACGTAGGTAGCAGAGCACAATTTGATTTCTCTCTTTAAACTCCTTCACTCCCTCATTATCTGGATTTGCTCTAATTGGTCGCAGGATACAGAAATACCACGTCATGCAGAAGTTCTCCCTATAGTTACCATACAACTACCAAGAATTCAATGAAATAAGCAGCCCATCTCTTCTGATTTTGTTGTCTGAAGAGCTGTTGCTGTGCCTGTGGCTACTCAAAGAGTTAGAAAGTGCTCTGACAGCAGCCAGGCAGCTGAGCTTTACCGGAATCTACAACCTAGAGACTTTTTTCTCTCGAGAAATTGTCCCCACACTGAGACAGGGCAGGTCATCGGAAGTGCAGCTTCCTCAAAATTCTGCTAATTTGCATCATGCATTTGGTAGTGAGTGAACAGGCCACAGACACACATCCTACTCCAGCTACAGCTACGCCAGCTGCCACGGGCTACTGTCCTCAGCTGCTTGTCCCCAGGGCCTTGCCAGAAGCTGCCTTCCCCTCAGATGTGTTTGCTGGGGTATTTATATGGTTGCTTCCTAACCCCTTTAAGAGCTTGACTGATGCAAATAGCTCCAACAGCAGATTACTAATTTATTTTATCTGAGGCATGTAAGGAGCAATGACACGAGCAACTCGCCTGACAGATCAGGGAGAAGAAGGAGAGGAGAGTGAAGTTTTGGCACGGAAATGGTAGTAAACAGCTTGGAGTGGACTTCCAAGCAGTTTATTTTTTGTCCATGTCAAAGAAAATTGTCACCATCATGTCCAAGTATCTCAAAGGCTGTTTCCACGGTGTTTACTTCTTGACTGTTCCAAATTTAATTTTTTGCAAACTAGTCTTCTCATTTTATTTGAATTTGCTGCACCAAACTGTTCCGGAGAGACGAAAGGAATCATGCACCTCAGTCTACTTTGTTATTTCCAGGCTTAAAGTGTATCCTTTATTTTCCTGTCCAGCTCATTTGGCAATGCCCATTGCTAATTAAAGCGTGATTTGACTCCATGTCTAGAAGCAACACTGACCACGCCTTACTTACATACTTAATGTTGCCTTTACAATTTAAACTTACAATAAAGAATATTCACATGGCACGGTAACAAACACCTTGGATTGCAGCTCATCTTTTACTGAAAAATTTAACACATAGACATTAAAAGAATAGCACTACACTAGAAGTTATGAATTATTAAAATATTAAGGCCTATAATTTACCAAAGCACAGGTAAAACTTATTTAATATTGACCTATAATAAAATTATAATAAAGCAGAATTAATTGTGTTTCCTTGCTGGAAGGAAACCTGCTTGCTTAATAGTGTGAAACAGAGTTTTCAAGCCTAATTTAATGTCAATTATCAGGCAGTTCATAGGGAAGCAAAATTAGCACTGCACACCGTCTTTTAAATGCAGACTAATTTGTCACTTGGTGTTTCCAACTGCATCTTTGGATAATCAAACTTGAAATTAAAACACACTCTCAACTGCTCAACCCATGTAGTTACAGCATGCCTTGCTACTGACAGGTCCCATGGTAAAAAATTAATTACTGAATTATATAAAAAAAGTTTCCCTATGCTTGAATGTCTACATTGCATAAGTAGAGGATCTTTCCTATCTGCAGTTCTCTGTATAGAAGTATGACTCTGACAACTTCAAAGCTTTTATAATATTGCTCACTGTCTTTAAACAGCTCTTAGTGCAAAGAGAGCCCTTTGTTCTTTTTCTCCTAAGTCTCGATTATTCCATACCATTGGTGAATGTTTTCTTTCTGTCAGTTCTTCCCATTAGCGGACAATTTCCTCACCACTTGAGGGGTCAATCTGTATTTAGTAAACATCAGTGTAACCCAGGGAGGCTGCAACTTACTGCAGCATTTCTATTACTTAAATGTCTGTTCTCTGCGACAATGGTTTTAGGAGATACTACCTTGGATTACTTAGTAACAAAATGTCAGCGTGGTGACTAAACACATACTGGAACACAACAATCTTTAACCTAAACTAGTTATCACAAATACTAATTGAAGAAAAATTCAATAACTTAAATGCATCATACCTGTTTGAATTCCGAGTCTTTGCCCACCATGACCTGAAGACAGTAGATAACCGGATCTCCCTTCATGGGCTGCAGAACCTCCCATGTGATTTCACAAGTATGATCGTTTATTCTCTCTATCCTTGGTACTAAAGGAAGCAAACACAAAGCTGACAGCTAGATCTGCTTCCCCCATCACTTCGCCTTATAGTCTAACGACTTGTAAAATTCTGTATTCTATCTGCTCTTTTGTCTCAGAGAAACAAAAGATTCAGGTTCAAATGTATTCTTTCTCCATTGTTTTCTGGAACAACAACTAACAATTTGCATAGGTCTCTACTGCTAGTTTAGGTGTCATCCAAGAAAAAGCAAGTAAAAATTTTGTGACTGCAAGTGTATATAGTATGCAAAAAAAAAAGCTGTTATGCTTAAAATTATTCTAGATATGTTAGGAAGAATTTTCACCTCGAATTATGTAACAGCTTGGCCACTCTCTCCTGGTACGCAAGGATTCTAAGAACAAACCTTATGTCAAAGAATGCATAAAAAACCCCAAGCCTCTCATTTTGGAGTGAATATTGTAGGCTTTAGGCAATTACATGAAAGGAGCATGCCCTTACTATACTTACATGCACTTGGAAAAGGGCATAGCATTCTAAATATGCCAAATACAACACCCAACTTGTAAGCCCCTCACCTCTCAAATGAAAAAAGCAGCACCTTTACCTTTCAAGGCAGCTGGAACAGATTTGGGAGTAGTGAAAACATATTCTTGAGAAAGGGGACCTTCACCAGCTTCGTTACATGCCTGAATACAAAATTTGTACGATGTTGACTCACTGAGTCTTTGTACTTTGTATGTATGACACGGTCCTCTGTATAAGGATACAAACCTGAAAATGGAAAGAGCAGCTTATTTTAAACACAGAAAAGGACTTCCGAAGTAGCTACAGTGCTGTCTTGAAATCTATTGCCATCGTTTCTCACAACCTAATGAGAAGCCCAGAAATATTTATTTCAGAGTTAAACAGTGTTCTAGCATTGCTATAAAACAATAAGCTCATTTAGCAGGGCCAAGTTTTTATTTCTCACGTCTTTTTAATAACATCTCTTTTACACAAAGAGTACTACAGACTGTCTCTTGGGAAAAATGATCCTATGCATTTTCAGAAACCCTTCTGCACTTGAAACAATGGGAAAAGACAGCAGTTCTCTGTCTCAATGACCTGTGTACACTGCTGCTTTTTTTTTTTGCCATCTAATGTCTTGAGCTTTTCGAAATTAGGTAACCAGATTTCAGCTTTTTGCTCATTTGTAACTCTCCTTTACTACACCTAAGAAAGGGCCACGGATCCAACTGCTCTTGTACATCGTTGTTAAAGATGGTTGACTGATGAAGCTCGCTCTGATCTGCACAGGAAGCCAGAGCCACACTTGTAGCACACACTAAGTCCCATTCTGACACCTTTGTAGACTGGCCACTCTCCTTCATGTTACAATTCTTACATAGACTGATCTTGGCAGCTCTCATTTGATTTTCAATTTTGGTATCCTCAGGACACAGCACAAATTTATTTCTTTCTGTCGGGGTTATCATCTACTTTGACTTTTTCTTTCTTTCCTTTTAAATGTAAAACAGACGGCACCTGCACATGACCCAGTCTTTGGTAACGGCAATTAATTTCTTTCCAGTTAAGAGTCTAATTTCTTTTCCTCCTTGAAGTAGAGCAATTTCGCCTAGCAGATCTATTTTGCCTCACTGTCAAGCTAAAGCTACTCAGAGATTCAGACACGGTACACAGTGTTGCAGTACTGTTCATTTTACCATTTAGGCAAGGGTACTTGCTGTACCATCTTAGCTTACATTCTGATTTAACATGAGAGAAGGGATCTCTTAAAATAATAATCTGTACTACATGAGTTTATTTTCCACCAAAAATAATTGCATATAAAGACAACAGAGTAAAGAATTCCCCTCTTCCAATATCAAGTATACAAAATTCACAAGACTGATTAGACTTGATACTTTGACAAAATACTTAACCAAACATAAGAAAGGGAAAAGTGGGCTGGTACAAAACATTTCATTAAACTCATTATATTGAACTGCAAATAAAAAAACTAGGAAGTTTCTGATCTTGCACTTTCCAGCACAAAACACCAGAGCCCTTCTTGCCTTGCCAGACGAGAAAGCCTCCTGTGTCTGTTGTAAATTCAGCAAAGCATACGGGATTTCACCCTTTGCTGCCATCTCCCCAGCATCAGACCACCGTGATGCAGGGCAGACTAACGCGACGCCAAAACCAACCTTCCATTCTTATCCTCCATTTGAAGGTGGTACTGAATGGAGTCAGTTAATGCTTTTGCAGTTCCCTCTCCCCACTTCAGCTTGAGAGTCTGAGAACTGTATGCGGCACATTCCAGGCGAGGTGGATCCGGGGGGAGAGGTTTGGTTTTCAGTTTTATGGTGTGGCTGAAAGGACCCGCTCCGAGACTGTTTAGGGCTTGAATTCGTACTCTAGTATTTGAAAAAAGAGAGAATAAATTAACTTGAAATTAGATTCTAAAAAAATAACCGGTAATTTCATACTCAAGAGAAAACAACGGTACCAAATAGATGGTACTTTCTACAATGAAGACTTTTATTAATATTATGCTTTGATAGACTCTCATGAATATGCAGGAGTGTCACTTTCCTTGCCACATTTTAAGGAGCTGAAATGATTCAAAATAAAAATACGTTACCATATTTACATCATTCACATTAGGGAAAAGACGAAAAAGCTCTATCAGCTACTTCAAGCATGGTCCATCTTCCTGACCCTGCAGGCCTTGTACCAAAATTTTTGATAGCCACATCGGAGAGATAAGGGAAGATAAAAAAAAACACCCCCAAAAGAGGAATCTTTGGCTATTATATCAGGTGAATTCAAGGATGACTACAGTAAAGTTTTATGGGCTTTTTGGAACAGATCTGATTCATGTGAAAATAAAGTGATGGTGCCCAGCTACCTCTCTTGCTGTTTTCACTGGTAACCCATCTCTGGGTACCTGCAAACAGAAGTCATCTTGGGTCTGCTTGGAAAGGGAGAGGATGAAATTGGAAGAAGTTAAAGGACACAGGGCTGAGGGGTCTGCAGAACTTGAAATTCAGATATAATTGTGGTTGGATTTTTTTTTTATACTCCAAGGAAAACAATGCTGGCATTAGGTTTACAAGTAAGAATTAAGTAGCCAAGAAATCTATTTCTAAAAGGAAAAAGCAGGAAATGGAGAAACCTGAGGCTCTTTACACATCTCACAGACAGCCACAGAAAGCAAAGTGTGTCTAATCTCATTTTGCAGACTAACATTTGCTTGTCTAAAATAGCCTATCTAGGTAACTGAAAAAAGCCATCACAATAATTAAATTCTGAAACAATCAACCACACAATTTCAAAATATTGCAACACAAATATGTGTGCAGGCTTATGAATAAATATTTGTCCTTCACTACGTAGTATTTAAAATTATGCTAATTTATTATAGCACAGAACTAAGGCGAATATATGCATTTTTTTATTTGCAGAAAGAGTTGACAGTGTATTCTAGAAAAGCACTTTTGTGGGCAGAAGTACAGAAGTATCTCTGCAGTAGAAGTTTCTCTTTTCTCGGTTTGTTGACCGAAAGCAACAGCTCTTCAAATTGCCAGCATTAGTGTTAAATACTTATAAGGCACGCAGAAACATCGTAGTCTTACATGCAGCACTATAAAAGTAAAAACAAATCTCTAAGGATTCAGAAAACTGCAGAGCAGATGATAGCCTTGCTGTACTGAAATCAGTGTAGGCTTTAGTCGGACTGACGTTCTCCTTTAAGTTTTAACACTGAGGACACGTTTTTCTAAGAGGACTGTAGAGTGCCTTCAGGCAGAATTATTGATATTTACATTTATATTTTTCAGTAACTCTTAGGCCAAATGTAAGGGATGATTTTAGTAACCACAATTTTTCAAAAGAGATTGAAAATTGATAGATTTTTCAAACCGATATTCTTCATGCTGATTGCCACCCAAATACGTGCTATTTCTGCACAAAAGGCATTGCAAGTTGTGATGAGCTGTCGTTAGATCACACAATCCAGTCAATAAAGACTGGACATGATCCTTCCTTGGATGGGTTTTAGCTTGTCAAACAGATTAGAGGCTATCTAGCTATGAAACAACCAGTCCAAAGACCAGTTACGAATGTGAATCTGTAATGTGAATTCATTTAAATTGACACATTAACCAGACAGATACAACAGATCTATAGCAATAAACATACTAAAATAAATTGTTCTTGAAAGAAAATAAAACCAGCACAGCTCATCTACTTATGAAGATCATCATTACAAAGTTTCCTTTTCCTCCATGGTTATGTACTAAAACTTCTCTGACAATCATGTAGAGAATAAAAAAATACAAGGAAACAAACAAAGAATCTATTCTTGTGGAAGAAACAGTAGGCTGTCAAGCAGCTACGCATGGCATACCTGTAGGTAGTATCTGGCTGTAAGCCATCTATAAAATAGCTCAGAACCTTCCCAACAGTTATTGGTTGCTTATCTCCAAAGTCTATGCTGTAGCCAAGGATTTCAGATCCATGGTCACAAGGTTTTTCCCAGCTTATAGCAAGGCATGTGGAAGGAGAATAGTGTGGACTTTCAACTTCATCTTCACTTAGTCCCCGGAGACAAGTCACAACTGCAGGTACAGAGGCTGGAGTCATACATGCCACTACTTCACTGAAAGGGCCTGCACCTGCAACATTTACTGCCTGCAAATGCAAAGTAGACCATGTTTTTACAGCAGGGTCAATTCCCGTTTCCAGATTTCATTAACAACAGTTCTGACGTTTTTACCTGAACCCTGCAATAGTATATAGTGGCAGGCAAAAGCCCTTTCATTTCACAGTTGAGCCCAGGCCCACAATAGGAGATCTGCATGCATCCTTCCACACCGCCCCACTCCAGTCGGTACTCCGTGACGTCAGCTCCGTTACTCGCTGGAACCTTTGAAATGCATACAAACAGCTAGAAGTTAAACTCACTGAAAAAAATTCAAGCAAACTCACCACATCTATTTTTTTTTTTCTTTTTCCACAGGAATATTACGCTCCCATTTCTTCAATGACTTTTAATTTAGTACAGTAAAAATAAATCGGAATGCATTACAAGCCTTGGGTCACCTATACTTTAGGAACACTACTGTTGCAAACTACTCTACACGAAGTAATTGTGATTTCAGTTGCTTAAATACAGAGATCATTTAGCCTTTTTTTCTGTACTGTTCTGTAACTCAGGTACTTTGCTCCATCTCAAGCCACTGAAAAGCTATGTTTAAACAGCACTCCCAGATAGAATCTTCCTTTTTACAAGCTTAATTTTTATCTATTGCATTTTTTTAATCAGATCTCTAAATACTATTGGTTTATAGGAAGTCTGTGAGGCTTTTGATACATTATTACTGATGTAATTATATAAAATTAAATCAGCTTATAAAAACAGCAAATGCACAATGATCTTTTGTATTAGGTGGATATATTAGCTCTGAGGAAGGATAACTACATTAAAGAAATATTGTAAGAAGAGCCTGCATCACTCAGAAATGCAGTGCAGCAGTTGTGGCAAAACTCTTAAACAAAAGAACAATGTAAGATCTCAAGTACCTGCAGGCTGCCAACTTAGAGCTGTCATATAATGCTTCGATGAATGACTCTGAGGTTTTACCAACCAAGTACTTACTAATCAGGTAATTCTGTTTAAAAATGTGATTAAAATAGTCTTAAGCTTTTAAAGTTGAACTTAAAAATGTAGAAGACAATCATGTTAAGATATGATGGCATTCTTACCTCCCACGACACCTGAGCGCATGCAGCAGATCTGCAAGTCACTTGAGGGGGCTTGCACTGATCTGGTGGTCCAGGTGCTGTAGTTACTTCACATTTTTCCGAATAAGGTCCAAACTATTAAAAAGGGAATTGATACAACTAATTTGTAAAAATAAAATCATTACTTTTTTAATAACAGTTTACCATAGTAGGGACATGTAACAGCAGCCTGAAACTTTGTATTACTTGCTTATAAAATAAACTTTCGTGGATTGTGGGTTCAGGATGTATTTCAGTATCTGAATATTCTCCAGAATAGCTGCAAGACTTTTCTTCTCTATAGTAAATCCAATCAGAATAAAATTGACACTTCAAACTCTCAGACAAAACAGGAAAGTGCTACCCAAATCCTTATTTTGAATTTACATGATGGCTGCACTGTAACAGAACACAATTTGTAACTGCCTATTTACAGCTATCTAAAAGAAATAAGATATTCAAAAAATGCTTGAGGGACAAGCCAGTCTTTGCGGGAGGTGGATAAAAAGTTCGGTCAGTGCTTTAAAGCGTTAAGCTGCAGACCTCTCCACAAACAGCATCAGCTGGTCATGACGGTTTTTATGAAGAGAACATTATTGAACAAATGTAAGCAGCCCTGCTTTAAAATCAGGATTCTGGATACATAATTAAATAAAGCTTATTCTACAGCAACAATTGGTTTAAACACATTTAATATTCCAAATAGATAAAATATTTCTATATATGATAAAACATGTATTCAGAAGTTAAACTAAACATAAAAAAAGAGAGTCAGGAAACTCTAATTACTACATTCTAGAACCAAGAGCTGTAAAATTAAAGGTCAATCAATTTACAAAGCTGTATACAGAAAATAATTTACTACCTTACTTCACATGAGAATATTAAAAGTTGCAACAATGCTTTGATAAAGTACTTGGCGTTTCCTAACTGTTTCCCAGTGCTATTATTCAGATGTGAGACATAATTAGCTATTTTCTCTTCCCTTTATCTAAACCCCCCTTTATTATAAACTGATGTTTAACTGTGTGTTCCCTCACAACAATAAGCTATGTCAATCAAATGACTCTACATAAGGAAATCCTCATTTTAAAATTACTGTTAAATGCTTCTTTTAAAAGAGAAGATCCTTAATAGTGATTGCAGTCTCTGGAACTAATTTCATTCCAGACTGCTTCCTTACCCCCGCCTTGTTAGCTGCTCGCAGTCTGAAGTTGTACATCCTCCCTGGAAGAAGGCTGCCTACTGTGCATTCAACATCAGAGCCTTGGTAAACCTCTCTGTGTTCATCGGTTTCTGTCTGAAACATTTCCAGACCATAACAGGTAATGGGTGAACCACCGTCTACCTGAGGTGGTCCTGAAAATAAGAAAGAAAGAAAAGCTTATTTAATTTTAACACATAACACATTTGGATCCCTTACACTTGCTAACAGTTCTAACAGAATTACCCCAGCGCAGCTGAATTTCTCTTGCTCTTGGTCTACCCTGTAGCCTTGGAGGCTGGCATGGACCAGGAACCACTGCTGGTGTCTGCACCAGTAGAGAATCAGATGCCTACAAAGGAAAGATAGATTAATTAAGTCATCTAGGCCAAACCAAGCACTATCAATTATTCCACAAGTAAAGGCAAATACTTGAGTCAGAAACAGGATCTTCCATTTTTTGAACTACGTCTTTAAATACAGGAAGATGCTTAAGTGATCTGGTATGTATTTCTCATAATACCTATATAAAACATACTACAGTCATCACACAATATGCAAAATTAACTTCTGCTTTTGTGTTTTGGTACACATGCAAGCAGTAGAATTAAAAACAGTAGTTAAGTATCAGTACAAACCTAGTAGAGACGCGTGAAATATGACTTGCTCAACCTAAACTCATTTTCTTTTCCATTAAACTGCAGTTTACTGATTTCTAAAAACTTACTCTAAGAGTTTTATACTTTGTGTGCAAGAATCTCAGAAAGTGAAAGTGAGTAGAAATGTCAATCAGAAGAGATTAAAAAAAATATTGAGATTTCAACTTTTTCATTGCTTAGTAATACTTAAAGTGCAACAAACTTCCACCTCTGATTTGAAGTGTGCGCAAAAACACACAGCGTAACAACACGCAGCAGATGGCATTGACTATTCTGGATGCAGACAGAGATGAGTCAGACGATGCGGGGTTATTAGCTTCAATGTGATAGAGAACACCTGCAAAGTTGGTAAGCCTTTTAGTTTACATGAGAGATGCATCTTAGAGTCTCATTTCATAACTGCTTTCTACATGTTCCAGAAAGAGTAGATTGGAAGCTCTGCTGCTTTTCAGTTCCTTTGAAATGTATCATTGGACTGAACAACAGATGCTACTTAAAAAGCAGAATGTTTCTCAGGAGGCGTATGGCCACGAAAAGCTACTGAAAAGTTTTATTACATCTTTCTTTACTATTCTTCCGTTGATTTCTGACACCTTCAGAAAGTATCAGGACTTTCTGAAAGTTACTTTCTCTTTGGTACTCAGATAATGTTTATACTAAACTAATGGAGCTGGGTTATGGGGAAGGAGGTTGGCAGAGCAAAAGTCTCCAAAGACATACGTGCACTTGTGGTTAGGTGACTGGGAAGTACACTGCCTTTTCCCTTCCCCTGCACAACAGTGAGCTGAGCTATGGCAAGACAGAAAGCACTGCAGCTGAGACAGTACTGAAGGAGTCCAGATTTATTCTTAAGACAAGGTGGTTGTGGGCAAGGCTGTCTTTGCAGGAGACTCCTGTGTGGAGGAAGAACACACGAATTTCCTATAGTAAAGGGAGGCTGGGGAAGAAATGCAAACACAAAGAATGCAAGGCTTTAGGATTTTCAGGAGATCAGTTTGACAGTGAAGCCCTGCTGGAAGTCTGTAGAGAGCCAGGGCTGACTTTGTTACACTTGCTGCTGGGAGCAAGGGAGAAGAATCCAGCATGACATTTTGGCACCGGACGCTGAACTACACCACAGAAGCGACAGCGGGTTAGGCCTTAAGAAATTACATTCTATCAACGTATCGCACAGAAAAAGCCATAGTATCTGTTTCTGTAAATAAGAAAAAAGCAATTTTAAACAAAATACAGTATTAGAAAAGTATTCACACTTATTTGTTTAAGAAATGGGCAAAAACTTGAAACACGGTGCATCAATACTAGAATCTTTTTGAAGTACTAATTACAGCTATTTTGTTAGGCACTTCTGTACAATATTTGCTTATTAACTACTGGACTAGATTTTCTTAAAGAGAGAGAAATTTTATTTAATAAAAATATTAGCTCATATTACCGTGCTTTGTCCTCCTTCCCCAACACAATACACACGTAAGCGATAGGAACAACCAGGATTTAGTCGGTCACAGACATGCTCCCGAGCAGCTCCGCTGTATATTGTGTCCCATTTGTTTCCTGAAAGGTTAAAAACACGCGTGCAATGAACCATGGTGTAATTTACTTCAGTACTAGCCACAGCAGGTATCCTAGCTTTACTGAATAAATGTGTGCCTGAAGTTTATTAAAAAAAAAAATTAAGGCTTGCTTTGGGTTTCCTGGAAAAAGATGCAATCATTTAATAAAGAGAGTTTTCTAGGTAAATTTGTGTAGATCTGCTGAAGTGAAATGTATCTTCCTGATTTGGTATTTACATTAACTTTTAATGAAGTAATTACTGGGCCAGCAAGCATGTTCAAACATTATAAACAAATAAGAAAGAAAGATACAAACGCAAAAAGTTTCCATGGAAAAAACTTTTAGTTGCAACATTCATTTTGCAAACTGCAACTACAGTTTAAAATTGATAAAGCTTGTTCCTGTATTCCCAAATGTCCAAGCATCATCTGAAATACTGATTTCATTCTTTGCTGTTCAGCCAGATTCTAAAATCAGAAACTCTTTGGCATTCTCTCTCTCTTTTTAAGAGATTAAGCAGTGAAACCGGGGACTTTTAATTAAATCTCCAACAACTCAATACATCATAGAATTTAGAGAACTGGGAATGAAACATAACGCACAACTCACTAAATCTGCATGAAAGGCTCATTCCAAAAGTGACTTAATGTGGACACGTGATGGAGTAAGGAGAGTGACAGACTTAAGTATCAAAAGAACCGCAGCCAAGACCCCTGACAAGGGGACAGTGCGCTGTCTTAATCTGACACAGCACTGGAGAAGTATAAACTTTCATTCTCAATGTGCCTGTGTTTCTGAATTATTAAGGTTACTTAAGAGGTCTAGATTTTTAAATAATTTAGCTGGAGCGCTTTATACCCAGTTCAGAAATATCGTTCATTTCCCTTCTGTATAAAAGGACAGAAAACCAAATAGCAGAAATAGTTACCCAAACTGCGTCACCGTTCTACTTTAATAGTCATAAACAGAGCGCTAGTTTTTCTTTCATCTGTTACACATCCAACAAAGCTACGTGGTCCTGTCTTCTTGCCCTAAAATGTCTGAAATGTGTCATTTCATTTCCAAACCAGACTACACCTAAGTGATAGGTTAAACATGGAGCATCTGTCTCAACACCGAGTTTTGTGGCATCTTCTTTCTAAGCCAGAGAAAAAGAATCTCTTGTATACAAGCATCAACGTCCCTATTTTTTTTACTGGCAGTCCTTTGCAATAACCTTCCTTGTCATAATATACATCTTATTCTTCCCACAGGCACACAGACACACGAAAAAGAACACAGTTGAATGCCAACATACGTTCCTAATACTTACCATTTAAGCCTTCAGACATTTCCACAACATATGTGTTTATTGCTGCTCCTCCATGGTCTTTTGGTGGATCTATAAAAAATAGCAATATTCCAACTAAACGGGGTAAATCAAACATTTTTGTAGCTTTTTTTTAAGGAGAATTTTAAAAAGGAAAAATCAATAGCCAACTGGAGATGGGTGCATGTTTGGACAGACAGCCACAGCATCTTAGTTTAGGACAGCAGTGAAATGTTCAAATCCTCCACTATGCGAAACTGCCAGATCACAACCCTACTACAGTCTATGGATGAAGAGTGACAAGTGAATTTGGCACCTGGGAGATGCCACAGCAAACATTTCAGTTAGTCTGAAGTGCCATGGAAGGCTGCCTAGTTATTGTTTCAGTGACATAGATCCTAATGGTCCTGTAATTTGGACTGCAGATAGGAAAACATTATCATACTGATTTGCAAATAATATTTCAAAACTATTTAAGGACAGCAATTCAAAAATCTAAATATTTTGGGAGAGAATAGAGTCAGGAGTTCTGTATCAAAAACTTAATCTCTTGAATTTTTAATACATTGCCAGAAAATGAGTGCACCATCCTCCCCGGTACAATATTCATGTATAAGATACGAACCTACAGACCTATCTTTTGACATGTAATCCTACTACTCTCTCAGAGCTGACTTAGAGAACAGCAGAATTAGAATAATGTAGAAAACCAACATTTCTGACAAATATAAAGACAGCGTGATACTTCAAGACCGACTGGTACTGCTGCCACAACATTACATTATGTACGTGCTGGATCAAATGCTGTTGGCTCTTAGGCAGGGGTTACGTACCATATCACACCTGATAAAACAAATGAGACTTATTATATGGCACACAGCACTTTTTTGATTGGAAGGTAACAAATTACCTCCAAGTGAAAACCAAAATTAAATTATCGCATCAATTATCACTCATTTAAAAAAAAATGACTCTTAAAAATGTCATCTATAAATAGATATTTTAGGTAATTTTTGATTTACAAATTCGCGATTTCTAATAGCTTCTCATATTATATATCACCCACAAAACATCAAGCATCAGGCCCCGATGTAGCAAAGCACTCTGGTGTAAGACTGGACTTGCTGAGTACTAGTTATACTCTACAAGTAGCTTTCTTATTATTAATGCAAAAGAATTAAACACAGTATTAAACAGAACTAGGTAATAAGTTTAATTACCTGTGACAATAAATAAAAACTTTAACTGAATCACACAGTAGTGTTTCACCTTCTATTTCACAGCATAATGGTAAAAAAACCTGAACCTAAGGCAAAGTTTCTCAAGATCCTTAGAGAACAAAAACATTTATATATCAAAACCAAACACTTCAAAGAGACAGGCTGAACTTGAATCTTCTCTTTCGATTAAAAAGAAAACCAGAATTTTGTGGCATCTACTTTTTGTGCCAGAGAAACAGAACTTCTTAGTACACAAATTAACATTACTGTTTTTTTTAATTATTGTGGTCCCTTGCAATAACAGTCCCTATTACAATTCGTATATTATTCTTCCCACATAATTACACTAATATATGGCCACCCTAAGTATTTTTAAAAAGTATTTTTCTCTTAGGTCCATGAAAATGGATCTTAATGGCTCAGTTGACTGAAGTATTACTGAAGTAAAATCTTGCCTTCTGTACACAAATATATATAAATACAGAGGACATACTTTAAATCACTGGACAACAATCTTACCCCAGGTTATTTTAAAACTCTGTGCATGAATTTTTCCTTTCACTACAGGTTTTGAAGGTACTCCAGGCTTGTCTGGACAAGTAATGTATTCTACTGTCTCACTTGGACTGCTTTTCCCTTCTGAGTTATAGGCAATGACCTGCAAATATGTAAAAAATATTATAAACAGAACAAACGCGCTGGCGAGCGGTATGCTATTCACTGCAATAGTAACGTCAGATTAATTTATATGTACGCTTAGATAGATAGTTACATAATAAATTATCACAAGAACTAAAGCTATGATATACCTTCATTTTACATTTTCATTAGTCACATAGTTAGACAATCACCACAGTGAAATTAAAAATTCCTGCAAATTTCCAGGAAAAAAAAAAATTCTTTAAAAACCCCCTAGTAATTGTGAAGCTGAAAAAAAGTTTAAAAAATTAAAAATTTAACAATCAACTAACCTTCCATATCCCCCCAAATTTCAAACATTAGTGTATAAAGTTAGGCTCTTACTTAGGACACTCAGGAGTTGCCTGACTGTAAAAGGCAATCAGGACATGCAAACTCAGTGACATTAATGGAATCTGTGGGTGCTCAATATACCACAAGCCACTCTATTTCAAGTCAACGATCTGAAAATTTTTTTTTTTTTTTTTTAAAGCCATCTAAGATACTCAGAAATTAGATAAGTCTAAGAACTATTCTTTTACTTAGATTTGAATAATTTATTGATAATGAAATATATGCATGAGAAAAAACCTTTCTAAAAGCATGGAAACAAAAGATGATGAAAAAAGCATGCAGCAAATAAGCCATTTTTAAACTTTCACTGAAGGAATTTAAAATTTTATTCTTATTAAAATAAAGAATTTCTTAAATATATATCATTATTTATAAATATATACTTATTGCTTATAAATAGAAATTATTTGTTCCTATTTTATTTTTATTAAAATTTTAATTGCAATTCCTTTCCCATTGAGGTAAAAATATTTTTACGTATTTAAATAGAGAGCCAAAAGTGATGCTTTACTAACTGCTGAAAAATACTGAATAATTGGGATTAATTAAGTAGCGCTCTCATTACCTTCTTTCAAGGAAATATATTCAGAGATAAAACAGTGTTTATATAAGTAAGTCTTTTTAAAAAAAACAGTAAAGGTGATATAAACTCTTCAGGGAAATTATGGCAAAAGTTGTCATGGAAGTTATTTACAGGGACATGAAGGACAATAAGGTGATTAGCTTTATCAGGGTTAAATCATGTTCGACCAACCTGAGTGCCTTCTATGATGAAACAACTTCCTCAATAGATGGAGAGCTATGGACATCATCTACCCTGATTTTAGTTTGACATGGTCTCCCACAACATCCATGCAGACAAGCTGGTAAGACACAGATAGGACAGATGGACCACAAGATGGGTGTGGAAAACCTGGTAGAATGCCAGGCTCAAAGGGTGGTGGTTAACGGTTCAAAGGCAAATTGGCAGCTGCTCCCGATTCCATTTCCTCAGCAGCCAAAACAACGTCCGATACTATTCAACAGCTTTAGAAGTGATCTCAACGACAGGAGTGAATGCCCTCTCCCCTGGTCTGCGTATGACCAAACTAGGAGCAGAGAGATGCACGGTAGAAGGAAGAGCCACCAGACAGACTTCGACAGGCTGGAAGAAGACTGCATCAACAAGAACCGTGTGAGTTTTGATAACGGTAATTGTAAAGTCTTGCACCTGGGATGGAACAATCCCAGCAGCAGTACAGTTTGGGGTCTGACTGGCTAGTCAGCTTTCTTTTTTCAGCTCTGCTGAGAAGGACCTGGTGGAGAGCAAGCCAAACGAATCAGCAAAGCACCCTGCAGTAGCAAAGGCAAATTATTTCATGGGCTGCATTAGCAAGAATTTAGCAAGTAGAACAAAGGATGTGATTATGACACTTCACTCAGGACTTTTTAGGCTGGAATACTGCATCCAGTTTTGGTCCTCCCAATTCACAAGAGACATTGAGAAACTGGAGAGAGTCCAGAAGAGGGCCAGCATGATTAGAAGGCTGGAGAACCTGATACAGGAAGAAAGGTTGAAGAAATTGGGTTTACTCTGCCTAGAAAAAAGAATTATCATGGGGGGGATCTAATCACAGTCTTCCAATACTCAAAAGGTAGTTAAAAAAGAGATGAAGATACTCTCTTCATGAAGATCTGTGATGGAGGAGAAGAGACAATGGGCATAAGTGAAAATTCTGGTGGGATAAAAGGAAAAAAATAATTAATCGTCAAGAAAACAGACTGTCTAAAGAACTGGTGGAATCTCCCTTGCTGGAAATACTGAAGTCTCAGCTCAACAGGGCTAGGACAGTTGAATTGCCTAACCTAAGGCCATGCTTTCTACAGCAGTTTGACTTGGATCATCCCCAAAAGTCCTTTCCAGTCTAGACTTCTCTGTGATTCTAGGAAAACGAATTGCTGCTATTCTTTACTTTCTGGTTGTGTCTGCAGTGAGTTTACTACATATTCCCATTTGCTCCTAGCAAGAAACTAAACAACCTAAAAAAAATTTTTTTTTGGCTTTTTTGTTTTTAAAATGAACAGAATTGAAATGACAGCAGTAATGTTAGCACAGATGGAGAAAAGGAAATGTGAGCTAACATGTCTCTCAGACACTAAGTCTCCCGATACAGTTTACAAGATTAACAATCATCTGGTTGTCTTTGTGCCCTTACAAATGAAGTTAAACAGACACAGTTAGCATTTACGTATTATAATAAGGTTTCCAATGGTTATAAAGCTTCTTTCAAAAGCCTTAGGGAATATTACCACTAATTAAGTCTTTTGCCTGTATAATAAAAATTAAAGACCTGATTAACACAATATTTCTTTCTTCTTTATGCCCTATGAATGAGTCAACAGAGACTTCTGTTTACTGTTTTGTTAAGAAAAATAGGGTATAACACATTAATCTTTTTTTTTTAAATTTTAATGACAAACTTAGGATGTTTAAGTTAACTATATATTTACTACTAATGTGTATGATTAACTTGTAGGATTACTACAATCAAGCCCTGCAAAAGCTAGTTCCAAAGTAATGAGCTGTTCTTTAGTTTAAGTTCATGTGTGGCCATAACAGCCCTAGTCCTTGAAATACACTCTATATTTTTATTTCAATATTATGCAAAAAAATCCAAATAGTGTAAGGTTAATCCCTATCATAATCTCTTCTGCTTAAGAAAGTAATCATATTAAAAAGTGCAAAACACCTGCTATCATTTGAAAAGGACTAATACGCTTTAGTGTTAACCTGAAACAAACCAGCAACCCTCTCAACTGCTGCCTTTCATATTGCACAGAGACGCTGTTCTTCAGCAGCTCCCAATTCTTCTTTACGAAATAGTATTTTAGGTGTATGTAAGACAACAGCCATCAACATTTTTCCCTTGTAGACAGAGAGAGATGAGATCATTCTGACTCTGCTTCATACTGTGGCACATGCCTTTAGCTTTGTTCCCAACACCATACAACTGTTCAAGAAAAACTTGGAACACAGAACAGCCCAGGTTGGAAGGGACCTGAAAGATCAAATGGTCTGACCTTTCAGGGAAAAGGAAGCCTAGATGAGATTATCTAGAACCTTGAGCATTCTTGTCTTGGAAGCATATAGGAACTGAGACTCCACTAGGTCCCTAGAGAAGCTGTTCCAATGGTGGATTGTTCTCACTGTAAAGAATTTATTTATTCTATCAAGATGAAACTTGTCTTGGCGTAACTTGTACCCGTTTCCCCTTGTCCTCTCCATGTGGCTCCGTGTGAAATAAGAGCCACATTCCTCTTTGTAGCCACCCTTTAAGTACTGGAAAACTGGTCTCCCTTAAGCCTTCTCTTCTCCAAGGAGAAAAGACCTAACTCCTTCAGTCTTTCCTTACAGGTGAGATTCTCCAGCCCTTTCATCATCTTCGTGGCTCTTCTTTGGACTCTCTCCAGTCTGTCTTTTTCGAATTGTGAGGACCGGAACTGGACACAGTACTCCAGGTGTGGCCTGACAAGGGCTGAGTAGAATCGAATAATCACATCTCTTATCTCTGCTAGTGAGGCATGTGTAGATGCAGCCCAGGATCAGAGTTGCCTTGGTTGCTGCAGTGATGCTCTGCTGACTCATGTTCAACTTGCTGTCCACCAGGACCTGCGAGGTCCCTTTCAGCAAGACTGCTCCCCAGCCACACAGATCCTAGCCTGTACTGGGCTCCTTGGTTATTCCAACCCAGGTGCAGGACTTCGCACTTTTAAACGTCACACTCTCATTGCTAGCCCACTCTCCTGGCCGGTCCAGGTCACTTTGTAAGATGATTCTCCCTTCTCACGCATCCGCCTCACCACCCAGTTTGGTGTCACCGGCAAACCTGGTAAGGATGCTTTCAATCCCATCACTAGTCATTGGTGAAGATCAACAGTGTGGGGCCCCATAGTGATCCCTCGGGCATTCTCCTTGTAACAGGCTGCCAGCCTGAACAAAAACCATTCACCACCACCCTCTGAGTGTGGCCTGTTGGCCAGTTTCCCACCCATCTTGCGGACCATTCATCCAGTCTGTATCTTGCCAGTTTGTCCAGGAGAAGGCTGTAGGAAATAGTGTCGAATGCTTTGCTGAAGTCCAGGTAAACAACATCCACTGCTCTCCCCAGGCCAACTGAAAGTGTTACTTTTTTGTAGAAGGTGATCCCATTAGTCAGGCATGATTTGCCTTTAGTAAATCCATGTTGGCTTTTCTCAATCACCACCTTCATTTGGCTTGTAATAGTTTCTGAGTGGACTTGTTCCATTACTTTCGTGGGTACTGAAGTAAGATTGACGGGCCTGTAGCTTCCTGGCTCGTCTTTTAGGCCCTTTTTGTAGACAGGCATGACATTTGCCCTCTTCCAGCTGTCAGGGATATCCCCTGATCTCCTTCACTTTTCAGGTATTATAGATAGTGGCCTTGCAACAATGTCAGTCACTTCTCTTAACATCCTGAAGCGGATTCTGTCCTGGCCCAAAGATTGATGTGGGTTGAGCCCTTGCAAGAGGCCACAGCCCAGCCCTTCCTCCACCACTGGCGGGTCAACACATACCTTGTCATAGCTACTTGATCCTGTCATCTAGGGTCCAGCTATGTCAGTAAAGACAGAGGCAAAGAAGGTATTAAGAACCTCTGCCTTACCGGCATTATTAGTAACTTGCTTCCCCGTCCCGTTTAGCAATGGGCCTATGTATGTCTTCCCTGTGCTTCTGCTTACTGCTCACCTATTTGAAAAACCCTTTCTTGTTGCTCTTGACATCTTTGGCCAATTTCAGTTCTAGCTGACCCCCAGCCTTCCTGACTGCATCTCTGCATGTCTTAGCAAGGTTCTTGTAGTCCTCCATGGCTATTTGGCTGCCTTTCCATAGCCGGCATGCTGCTTTGTTGCTTTTAAACACATCCAAAAGCTTATTGTTAAGCCACTGTTAAGCCAGACTTCGTCCTGAGGGAACAACTTCAGCCCTCGAGACTTAATAGAATGCACTCAGCACCATGATAATATGAATGACTTAGTAACTTGGGCTCAGTGCTATGCTAGCACTGACAAATGTTTTTAGATCAAAGTTGCTCCTTTCAGATGTGCTCAGAGTCTATCAAAGAGTCCCATAGCTACACTAAGTAATATTACCCATGTATATGCAACACCGAAACCAAATAAAAAACCTCAACTGTTAAGAACATTGACTTATGATGTGGAATTTCAAGATACCTGCAACTGTTACGCCCTTGCAGAGGGATGTTCTTATTCTTTCCGAAGAAATCATTCATGAAACAGGTGTTCAGCCAATAGTTTTAAGAGATTGAAATTGTAAGAAACTGGCATCGACTTTGGTGTTAAAAAACCCTCACAAAACAAAACAAAACAAAAAAAACAGCCCTTGTCCCTTCTAAGTCAATCTCAAGCTACTCTGTTGCAAAAAAACCCCAAACTCAAATATATAAAAAAGTCTTACCCTAAATTTATATTTTGTACTACGTCTCAAATTCTTCACTGTGTAAGTAAGATCGTCACCATCATATTTTGGCTTGAAACCATATCCCTGTAGAATTAAATAGGATTAAGTGAAATATTGTATTTGCAGACCAGACCATGTAACATACTTCATACAAATAAATTACTGTTTCAGATTGTAATTGCTATGCTCCTCCGACAAAGTAATAAATGCAACTCCATTGTGTAAACACAAGATAATTTTTTTTGAGGGGGAAAATTAATTAACCATTCTCTTATCAGAGAGGAGAAAAGAACAAGTAAGAAAAACATATACAATGTCAACAGAAGTTACACCTAACACTGTCAATGGGTAGAACAGGGGTGTCATTTTAAAACAAAGGTAGTTAGGTTGAAATGATATCTAAGAGGACCACACTTCATGATGCAATTACTTTGATTCAGCTCTTATAAGGCTTAACTTTCACAGGTAAATTCACAGAGTTAAAAGTAATTTAAGTGTCTTTGCAGGATTGGGGCTTCATAATACTAATAATGATTACTGTCACAACAAAAAGGAGAAAGTTATGTGGCTTGGTCACAGCAAGGACAAGTAAGCTTAATTTCAGAAGGTACAGTTCCTTTCAGAATATTCTATAAAAAGTAATCAGTTACACTTAGTACAATAATGTATCAAACATACACATGTATAATCTCTTTTCTTTTTGAGAATAAGTGTTCTAAACTTACTGAGTTCTCATCCTCCATCTCTAATATATACGAGATTCCTTCATCTGATGGTGTTCCTGAGGGTTTTGTCCACTGTAGGGATAACCAAGTAACTCCAGCATTAATCAGCAAAGGACTTGCTGGTGTGCTCGGGGCAGTGCCTGAGGTATGATACAGGACTTCTTCACTAAAACCACTGTTTAAAACAAACAGCATGTAAATGAACTAGACACAATAAAGAATATCTAAAAAACCATAATTCTTACTAAACACAGCTATGACAGTTGCTTGGACAAGCGTGCAACTGGAAATTGCAAGCTGGTACATGCAGACGACTCAATCTGCCCATGAGTCTGTCAGTAACAAAACATTTGAACAAGGTTAACGTTCATAATTGAAAGATTCCTTTGTATGATATAATTACAATGCTTTGCGAACCAAAACATTTTGCTTTTTCATATTAAGTCAATATTCTAAAACAATAGAGCTCTATATGCAATAACATATTAATACCACAGTGTCCTTCCTATTTAAAACTAAAACATGAAGACATAAGAGAAGACATATATGGGAAGACCTCAAAATTTTTTTTTCTCCCAGGCAGTGATTACGTGCTTCAAACATACTGTGAAGTACTAGTTTCTCTAGCAATTCAGAAAATAAAAGACTAATAGCCTCATTACTCATACTCATTCAGTATTAAGTTACTTTAAGAGTTGCCAATATGAAAGTCTTATTGCAGAACAAATGAAGTAGAGTGTACACCAGTGAATTTCCTAACACAACTGTTCACCTTATCTGATGATGCTTAGATACGCCCTGAAATGAAAATACAAATAAATTACATAAAAAGACCTATTGTGAGACAGAGGGATGCAAAAGTGAGTAAATAGGTACTATGCTTGTACATATGGTCTGATGTATCCAGCTGGACTCTTAAAACTACCTGTTCTCAGCTGGCATTTATTTAGAGATTTGCTGCTTCTACATCAGATCTGAAGAAACACTTACAGGCTTAAGGGCTAGTCTAGTTTTTTTTTTTTAACTGTATGAAACTATTGTCCAAGATGTAATTTTAATCTAATAGCTGGGCATTACCTAAGTGAGCATTAGGCAGCCCTGAAAACACAATTCTCTGTATGGCTTAAACAACAGTACCAGTTAAACATCTCATGTGGCGGAACTTGACTTTCCTGAAAAATCAATATAAAGACACCTTAACTTCACTTTCTCTCTTACCCAACCTACATTATAGTAACACACAAGTTGTAAATTTTGGTCTGCTCTGAAGTTTTTTTGAAGTTCAAAAAATAGAATTTAAAAACAAATAAAATCTTACAGACAACACTTTATCAAGGGTGTCGATAGCACCTAAAGCTACATACAGTCTGTGTGGACACGCAGACTGTGAAATCAATTGTGAAGCAAAAAGTGAAAAAGTGTCAAACAAGAGAAAACTTCTTAAATTTGGGGGAACTGTAATTTTTTTCTTGCAAAAAGTCACAAGCAAGAAAATCTCTGAAATTATGATGGTGTGATACATACAATATACCTGCTAAAAAAAAATTCAGTGTTACATATGTAGGCTAGAGAAAGCATGAAGAGAGGCTAGACAAATACTAAGCCTATCTCTATTCACAACAAACTACTGAAGGAGTCACGTTAAAGCAAATATAAGATAAAAAAACCTACACCGTAAAATGATTTAATATCTTTTCTCGACTGAACCTCTACAAAATACAGTGAAATAAAGTAAAAGAGTTCCAGTGATACCCACATTTGAACGACTCAAACAATTCCCTTAGAAGTACAATAATGCTATCTATCTTTTAAATCAATTTTTCCAGTTTTCTTTAGCCACTGTTTCATGTGTGGTTAGAATCAAACTTAAAAATATGAGTAACTCAAAGATAAAATATCTGTTCTTGTTGGTGAAATCATTTAGACAAAATTCTGTCTCCAGATGCCTAAGGTTCTCAGTATTCTTCATAAGGAATAATCAGGCACTCTACTCTAATAAATATTATTTCAAGAGACTTCTTAATTAAATAATACCATAAAGACAATAAAGTGCATCTTTACAAGGCTATGAAATATTGATTTAAAAATCTATTTGGCGTGATTAGTTTAAGAAGGGTACTTAACTGATCAGTGTCTTCTACCAGCTTACACTGCAGGCATCCGTAATATCTGCAGGTATTCCTAGAGGGTACATTTACACTCAGACGTAAAAGGGGAACAGGAAGAGGACCTGAGCACTAGATCCTGCTTAACTGCCAGCTCACTCCCTGTTTACTTTTTTAACAGTTCCAAGTGAATCTCATCAAGACAAAGTCCAGGAGCAACTCAGAGAATAATTCATTCCAGAAACATCATCCAGAAGGCAGTAACATAATAAAGACTGTGTCAGAGCACACCAGAAATCATTCTGGTCCGCTACAGCGTCCTCTGACAGTAGCCCAAACAGGCGCCTAAGGAAAGACACAGGAACAGGCACGATATGCGACACGTTCCCTGAGTAATCTCCAAAGCCTCTCAACACACGCCTCACATCTCCTGAGCCAGCTGTACTTTTCACATATTTAATAGCCTGTGGAGGATTTCTTCTGCCCAGTATGAATTACAACCCTAGGTCTGGCTCCCTCCTCTTTACATCATCCTTCAACACTGTCCAAGCTGGTATTGTTCCCTTGAGCACTTCCTTGTGCCAGCTGAAGGACACACAACATATATCCTCTATTTCATGCTATAAAAACACCACTCCGGTGAGCTGCAGCACTATGCTTAGAATATTTCAAACACTAAATTAAAACAACAAATGCAAACCAGCAATTTTAGGCTGATGGCTAGAGAAGCCCTGTTATGTCACGTAGGATCTCAAGGACCAAGTGCTACTAGGCAGTGTGCACACTGTCAGTCTGCTCTAGAGATGATGAGCCCTGGTAGTGAGACTATTAGCCAGCTTTGTTGCTTTGCCTGAAGACCAATAAACATTCTCGAGAACTAACACACACAGTAGTGTAAGCATAACCTGAGAAACTGTTACTTCTTGGTTTTTTTTGAAGTTCTTACTTATATTCTCTACTGAAGTCAGATGTCATTCATTCAGATTTCAAAACAAAGTATGGTGCTCTATAACTTGTGAAAAGTTGCAATTAAAAGTAAGAACCACATATCCTAAGCATTCATAATAAGCTCTAGAACTTCAAAAGATTTCAGTGATACGGTAATGTCATATTCTGTCCATTTCCCATGATAACAGGAGACTAACAGACACTTCAGAGACATGACAAACAGCACAATACAGATACACCATCTACAGGCAGAAGGGTGGGTTCTGCCAGACTTACTTCCTGCTCCAACAGTTACTGACTTACTTACAAGTATCTCTTGATACTGTCATCACTAAAACTCTAAATTTAAGGAGGGCTGATGATTCCTGGAAAATTACTATGCCAGCTTCTGCCTTTGAACTAGCACCATGTCAAACCTCCTTGGAACAAAGAGCAGCAGAGAGCATAGTAGGAGGTACCCTCTGGTCAGCACTGCAGCAGCACAAGCACTGCAGCATTTAAACTATTCAATTCTGGCCCTTTGGCTGAGCTGCTTATCTTTTAGCACGATCCCCAGAGTTTTAGTAGAAGTGCTTATTACATCAGACAAAAAAGCCACAATTGCACTGAATGTGTGAGTCTCTACAATGTAGTGCTTGGCCAAAAATCCTACTACAAATACGTGCAGTAGAAAACAAGTCCAAGGCAGCAACTTCAGTGGTTAGCGTAGGTCTATAAAGTCTGAAGGTAAAACCAGCACAGCCTGAGCTGATTTCATGTAAGAGCAGCTGGGATGTCTGTGCCATGCTCCTGCTCCCCATTCTAGGGGCATCATGTACACATGTCTGAGCGGGCTCTTCAGGGAACGAGGCTAAGTCTGGCAGAAGTAGCTATGTATTTGCTTCTAAGAGGGGCTGAGATTTGTAGCATTTATATGGTAAGTATGCACGTGACGTAGTGGTTATAGTATGCAGCCATACCATGCCTGGACAAAATGCATTATGCTGGGAATCACAGAATAGCTGAGGTTGGAAGGGATCTCTGGAGGTCATCTTGTCCAGCCTCCCCTACGTAAGCAAGGTCATATGGTTCACAGTACACAGCTAATCTGCTAACTGAATAATTCAATCACATACCATGAATTAACTATGCAGTTGGACTAGATGATCACTGTAAGTCCCTTCTAACTAAACTATTCTGTATTCTGTCTTATCCCAGTTGGACAAAACACTTGTCTCTTTAAATGCCATCATATGTTTTTCCTAAACAAGCACACACATGCATGCATATGCATTCCATATTTATGTATATAATAGTAATATTTACCTCATTCCCACGTCATTTTTGGCTGCTAGCCTAAAGGTGTACCCCATTGCTGGTGATAGTTTAGTAATCCTATACTGCTTCTGTTGGCCATAGTAACACTGGCAAAACTCTCCATTTCCTTTTCCCTGAAAAGGAGTAAGGTAATCACATTATTCATTCTATTATATATGCATCCATAAAGTAAAGCAACACACAAACATGAAGAAAATACATTTTTTGAAATGAAACATGACTCAAGAATCTCCAATATAGTGAGGCAGTAGTATATGAAACTTTGTATATATATTGAGTTAGAGGCTTTTTTCCTTCCTTTCAATTTCCCAGCTCCGCAGGGTTGGAAAGAAAAAGCCACGAAGCTTCTGCAGCTCTGCCATCTTAGGATAGGTGTCCAGGTAGGGACTGGAATATGCTTGTCGGGGCATAGTAGATCCACCTCCTTTGTACAAAAGAAAGGCTGTTACAGGAAAATGATCCTTTAATGTCAACTCTTGAAAGAAGTATTCGACTAGAAGTGAAAACGCCATATTAAGAGTGGTAGAGTCATGTAATTAAAATCCTATGATTTTATATTCTCCAAGAAAAAATTTGGGCAGTAACCATGTTTTCCTAATTGCTTCAGGAATGTTTGTCACATGCCTCTAGACAGAAGTAATAATTTTCACACAACTTGATGTGCACAGTCACATACAACTACTTTTTAAAAACTACAAAACTGAAAATGAGTAGAATAATTTGCTTACTTCATCCCATTCTAAAAGGTAGCTGTGGATTTTAGAACCATTATCACAAGATGCCTGCAACACGAAAAGAAGAAAATTAGAGTTCTAACTGGATACGAGACCACTTAAGGAAAAAGTGCTTGTACAGATCAAATCATGACAAGACCAGTAGAGGGCAAATGATGCTCCCATTATGTGATCACCTTACTTGACAAGACTGTCCTAGTTAATTTTCCATACAATGAATGCTTGTATCGAGTTTATGGTTTTGATATAGACCTTGAAAAAGTATTCTGGCAGCAGTGTAAAATGCTATGGTATTTTTCACAGCAGCTAGATTGCTCAAATCTCAGTCTTTTGAGATCGCTTCATTTGCTTTGCACAAAAAAGCCTATGTTCAGTAAAAGAGAAAGGAAATGGTTCCACAGTACAGTAGGGGACAGGAACTCAAACCACTGTCTCTCATTTGAACTCAGTAACTTTATCTACAAAGGCTCCTTCCTTTTCTGGGAATCCTTCTCTTTTTACTGAAGAGAAGTATTTATTTATACAGTACACGTATTTCCAGTCACAGACTGTGACTGAAATCAGCATGCTTGACAAAAATTTTCCATTTCAATGAACTGGCATTTTATTGACAAATCCGAAACAATTCTGAAGAGTTTAAAAAAATTAATTTTCAAGGTTTTTAAACAATTCTTACCTTCCACTGCAGAGTAAGAGAATTTTTGGTCCGATTAGTTATTCTAGGCAGATTTGGAGTATCAGGTTCACAACTCGCTGTGGTAAAACTCTCTGCTTCTGAAGGGCTCCCCTTTACATAGTTGCATTCTACTTGGACTCTAAAGTGGAAAAGAGCCAGTAACATTTTGCTTAAAAATCTTTTTCTTTCCAAAGAAAACGGAGTATTCAGAAGTAAGTTACTGCCTTGCTAACCCATTGGTAAAACATCACTGTTATAAAGAAATAACTGGTGGAAGCATCTTGGTCAGCAAAGGCAATGCAAAAGAAAAGAGTCATTTGCTTTGGATATACATCATTATCATCAGTCACCTTAAGTCTCACAAGCACATCTGAAATATGTCTGTTATTTGCTGTATTTTGGTTGTGGAAATAATGGCAACATCTTGCAGGTGTGTTACCTGTTGTAGACATATCAATTTGTGTTATGAATAATTCTTCTTCAGCAAGTGCTTTCATCAGACAAGCACAATGAAGCTGTTGATGTATTTTCAGAGTACATTCTGCACTTCTTCAAGACCTTGATGAATCTGTTCACCCTGTCCTTTCCTTTAGGAAGGCTATCAATTAACTCTTCATGTACTTCAGAAGAGTTAATTCTTGCTTATAGAATCACAGAATCATAGAACGGCTTGGGTTGGAAGGGACCTTAAAGATCATCTAGTCCCAACCCCCCTGCCATAGGCAGGGACACCCTCCACTGCACCAGGTTTCTCAATGCCTCATCCAATCTGGCCTTGAACACTTCCAGGGATGAGGCATCCACAACTTCACTGGGCAACCTGTGCCAGTGCCTCACCACCTTCACAGTGAAGAATTTCTTCCTTACATCTAATCAAAATCTCCCCTCTTTCAGTTTAAAGCCATTACCCCTTGTCCTATCATTACTTGCCCTTGTAAAAAGTCCCTCTCCAGCTTTCTTGTAGGCTCCCTTCAGGTACTGGAAGGCTGCTACAAGGTCTCCCCGGAGCCTTCTCTTCTCCGGGCTGAACAATCTCAGCCTGTCTTCAAAGGAGAGGTACTCCAGCCCTCGGATCATCTTCACGGCCCTCCTTTGGACCTGCTCCAACAGCTCCATATCCTTCTTATGTTGAGGTCCCCAGAGCTGAAAACAGTAGTCCAGGTGGGGTCTCACAAAAGCATAGTGGAGAGGGAGAATCCCCTCCCTCAACCTACTGGCCACGTTTCTTTGGATGCGGCCCAGGATACAGTTGGCTTTCCGGGCTGCCAGCGTACATCGCCAGCTCATGTTGAGCTTCTCATCCACCAGCACTCTCCCAAGTCCTTTTCCTCAGGGCTGCTCTCAATCCATTCTCCGCCCAGTCTGTACTTGTGCTTGGGATTGCCCTGACTCACGTGCAGGACCTTGCACTTGGCCTTGTTGCACTTCATGAGACTCTCACAGGCCCAACTCTTCCCTCCAGTGTGTCGACCACACCACACAGCTTGGTGTCATCAGCAAACTTGCTGAGGGTGCACTCAGTCTCACTGTCCATGAGATTTCTTCTGTCTCAAAGAGAAGTGGTTTGTTTTTCTAATAGCTTTTCTCCAAAATTAAACATAGGATTATTATCTGGCCTCCCCTGCACTCTGCCCCCCCACCCCCACCAGCTATGTAGCCATGCCTTGTCTCCTCCTTGGGTGAACCTGCCCTTTATTTTCTTCTGATTCACCTGTTCCTTTTAAAGGGAAAACAAAATCCCAAAAAAACCTTTCCTCTGATCACTGGTATAAGACCTGGGTTGCCTTCTCATGAATATGCAGAAGTCCTCATGTGCTCTTGTTGCGTGAACAGTAAGTCACAGGAAATTTTGCTTTGTGAATTTCCTGAACAGGGAGAGTGAAACATTTGAACAGTGACTAATGTTGCACACAAAGTTGTTTGTGCTTGCATACAGTTGTATGTATGTAATTTGTAGTTATCTTCATAGTTCAGTCTTTCTGGTCTTCACTGGTTTTGGGCAGTGTTCGCACTGGCAGAATTCTGTTTAACTCCTCGTTCAGAAAGAGCTTAGATGGCCAAGTCATCTATTCCCATGCATTCTCTACAATGACCAGAATGTAGCCTGATTTTAAGGACTTACATAAGAAAAAAAAGTCCTAGGCTCTGACCCTTATGCTTCATGTATTTTCAACTTAGACATTGTTGGGTAAAGTGCATAAACACTACTAAAAATAGGTATAAAATCACAGGGAAAAACTTCATATGAAGAGCTTTGAGTCAATTTATCATTCATCCTTCTCCTGAACCTGTGCTGCAGGCCATACAGTGGGCCAAATTCAATGAGATGTGTGATGAAGAACAGTCCAATCCTCTTTTGCTTCTGGTTTGGCAAGCAAGACAATACCCTGGAAAATAGCACTAGTAGAGACCCTCTCACACTGAGGACCAGAAACGTAGCTCTTCCATTTGAGCAAACGCTAATCAAAAGACTTACAAACCAGAAATCCTCCTCCTCCCTACTGCTGATGTTCTAAAGCTCATGTGGAAAGAGGAACAGCATTTCTGACTCGGATCCTCACTCAGACACACTTCTGTTCCCTGTGCCTCTAAATTGGTTTCCCAGTCAATACAGAGAAGTCTTGGGGTTCTCCACTCAATTCAAGAGAATAAAATCCCTCACCTGCTGCATGTTCAGTCACTTCTAAAGCTGCACTCTCCACTTGCAATTATTTCTTGAAAAGGCAGTACTTTTAAGGTGGCCTTCACTTCTGTCTTAACAATGTTACGTATTTATAAACTGCTATATTCATACTGTTTGTTTTAAACCAAGAAATAAGACAGCCTTCCCATACGTAAAAAAGGAGGGAAGAACACCTACCTACATCTTTCAAATCCCATGCTATTTCTTCAGTAGGACATAGCGAGGAATCAAACTCTGCTAGAAGAGTAGAATTACTAAATATGCCCCTAACTCAGTGTAACGCATATGGGGTAAGATTCACCCGTCTGCTGGAGCAAAGCAAAAGCAGCATAACCTGACCTTCAGGTGGCCAGCAGCGAGCATGTTCCTGTGCAAGGTATCTCCCCCTGCTGCTTCTGGGAAACAGAAAGCAAGCAGCATCTGTGCCTGGCTCCAAGGACAGAAAAACATCACTCTTGGATGTTGGATGAGGGTGCAACAATTTTCTGTTTTCCAAAATGGACTGAGTGGTCAGCTAAGGCAACAACGTTAATTTGTGACTGAAAGGAGGGTGAGATGTGGTAAAGAATCTCTGAAGACTTACACAAATATACAGATCCAACGAAACTTTTAAAACATTTCCACTGAATTTAATAAATAGAGAAGGAGATACTTACTTTGCATGGTAATCAGTTGCTGGCCTGAGATCATTTACGGTAACTTTATTTTCTTCTCCACTGGAAAGAGATATGATTTTGTTTAAGAGACTGTTTCAGAATCTCATACATTTATAAAAAGACACACATCATCTAACCCATCCACTTAACACTCCTTCTAAGAAATATATTTGCTAACGGCTTGTTTCTGTTGCTAAATATAGAAAATGAAAATGCATTTATCTTTAAATTTTAGAGGCTTCTTACATTGGATTCCTGTTGTTTTGCTCTGCTGGTTTGTTTTTTTTTTGTTGTTGTTCTGTTTGTTCATTTTTTTTTAAGAATAACTGATGTCCTCTTTACTTGGGATAATCAGCTGCATGTGTTCGCATGTATTTATTACACAAACACCATCAAAGTACTGGAGTCTTTAGAAGCTCAGTTCGGCCTTGCAGAAACGATTACCTAAAGCTGTAAATGACTGTATATAACCTACTTGTTAGAGCCCAGTAAACGGAAAAGGCACCTCAGTGACATCTATTAGTCTGCTTTTACTGGCATCAGCTTATGCTAGCAAAGCTCATTTCTTTTCCTCTAAGCTTCCAGGACAGGGATATCTAACTTGAGTTTCATGTACTGCTGCTAAGAAATTCATGGAAGGTGACTAAGAAACTAGCTAACTACACAGATTTGTAATTATCACAGAGCTCTGCACCCTTAATGGTAAATTTTATGTTTTATTTCTCCAAGTTGCAAAAAACAATCAAAACCCATTTGTATTAGGAATGAAACAATTGAAGAGTTTTGTTTGTTTTGCTGCTGCTAGAATTGTGTTCTGTGTGAATCTACTTACTTTATTTCATATCTTAAGACTGTCTCTTACCAAGAGCATTTTCAGGGAATGGAGGGATAGCCTCACTGGGAGCAGAAGCATGTGCTGAAGTAAACAACTAGAAATACAATTTGTATTTCTGCTTACTTATATATCTCACTAATTGAGAATCCACAGTTTCTAGTGCAGCTGGTTGAAATACAGCTAAGTGATATTAAAACATGCTTCCAATACCTAAGAACAAAGTCTTTAAATTCTAACTGATGGTAGAGACTCCAATAATAAATCAGAATCAATTCTACTGAAAAAAGGTAGTTTGTTTCAAAAGAGAAGTTGCACAAAACTGCTAATTATTGAAATCTCTGGACAAAAGGCAGATTTTTAATGAGGTTTTAAGCCACATAATTCAATGCAACAGCAATTAATTAAAGATTATAAACACCTACACGTATACAGTTTTGTACTTTCCATCTTTTCCGGTATTTGAAATCATTACTTCGTAAGTATAAACATCTGGTATGTCATTCTTGTCAGCATCTTCTCTGGTATCGCTGGATGGAGGGGACCATATAAGCAGTGCTGTTCTTGCCTGGATGTCTGATACCTGTAGAAATACAACTTTGAGACCTCTGCCATTTAAATGCTTTTGGATAGAAACACTGATTTGCCATGTAGGATCAAATGAAATAGAAGAAAATCATATAGCATTATCATATCAGAGTATTTATACTCATCTAATAGCTACCAGTTAGTTTTTACAGATGAAATCAAACTGGAAATCTAAGAAATGTCATAAGAAAACTGCAATCCTAGGGCTCAGGGCTGAGTGCAATCAAACTTCTAAGTAACAAATGCCACCTAGTGGGCTACATAAAAATGACTGTATCATTTATGAAGCACAAGAGATGGCAAGTGTATATCGTGAATTAGTCATTTCATTAAATGACTTAAATTAAACATTCAATAAATGTTTCAGACTTTTCTTTTTTTTACATGGCTGATATTATGATTTATTTTAATATCTTCTTCCTGACTTGGTTTTCATATGAAATATATACAAGCTCAGGAATTTGTCCAAAATGACTGGCATTACTGTGGCAGATAAAGAAACTCTGCTTTGGGCATTTAATTATGACTGCGACAAGTAGACTTTCCCAATAGATTAGAACTTATTTGGTTAACTACCTCAGAAAATTGTTTTTGATCACAATATTAATAGGAATACAACTCCCTGAGGCTCTAATCTAGTACTCTGTTAGTGAACAGAATATTACAACACATAATCTAATATGAGCTCAGGCGCTTGCAATGAAAGCATGCTCACAAGGTCCACGTACACACATGTATACACACACACACACATATATATATGTATATGTGGGAAACATCCTAAAAGAATTCCTGTGGTGGTGCTTGCCTGCACAGCTCTCCCTTTGCAGAAACGCCTGGCTAACAACAGTTGATGTGACAGAAATATGAGCATAAACAGTGTGTGGGAATGCAACACCTCCAACTGTCTGAGAAGCGCTTGCCCCAACAGACTCATTGTGCTAACGGCAGTGACCCTCGGGTGGATTACATGGTAACCTGGCAATCACAAAGAGACTTCTGAAATGAAGACTTCCTTCAATCAGTTCATAAGTATAAAAGCAGCATGAAAATTTGTACCAGGGATAAAAGATGCTGGAGTGGAAGAGAGCAATGGTCAAAACCTGGCCTGACAGCACGAGAAGTTGCCCTGCCACCATTGCCACCCCTATCTATGCCTGATGGAAGCCCTGAGTAGCCAAACTCCAGTTGGTGTGACAGCAGCTTGGGGTGCAGCAGGCAGGGACCCGCAGCTTTGGTGGGCACACACGACCTGGTGCAGAGTTTTCTCAATGGCCTGTGGATTAGCAGATTGTAGGGAATAACACATTTTAGGGAATAACACAGCTACATGCAAAGCTAAAGCACCCAGGTCTCCCAAAGGAGATGTGCAATTAGGGGTATCCACACTTCTAGGAGAGTGGGTGCTGCTTGAAGCCCATGTGTGCTGCAAGGGGCTGGGAATGCTCATATTTCTGTACATAAGTGCGCACGTGTGTGCACGTGATTATGAATTTTTAGGATCCATTATAGAAGGAAGTCTAGAAATTTGTGGGTGTTAATTAATACTGCACATCTGCTACTGTGGTTTATATGTTGCACCCGCCTACTGTTTCCAATCATTTCATAAGAGAACAGAAAACGTATTACATGAAATTACTAGTTATACAATATGACTGTAATATATATCTATTTTGGGAATAATTGCTTTTGGAAATCTATTATCAGAGTATCAGAATTAAAATGCTATCTTCACAACTGCTATAATCTACTCAACCAAACATCAGAATGGGTCAACGTCAAGAATGAAGCAGAGGAAATAATGTATTGATAACTGACAAACAGAAAGTAGGAAAATCAAACTAGATGAACCTCAATGTCTCGGAAATAATGTCACTAAACCCTTATATGCTATCAGGACTGTATATCACATCCTGAAAGGAATCAAGTCTTTCTATAAGATTACCCTCTGAAGTTCTTGGAAACACAATTCAAAGTTTGCTAAGAGAAATTCCACTATAATCTTGATGCGGTCACAAACTACACTAACAGTAACTACAACCACCTCAGTACAATTCTAGCATTTCTGGAAGTCTTCGGAGTTGTGGGAAGCATCTGCAGTGGTTAAAGCTCCCTCTCAGACAATCTTAATCCCTCCCTCCTGGGTTGCAGAAGACAGCACAGAGGCTACTGAAGAAAGAACCAGCTAAGCCTACTTGTCCTAGCCACCATGGAGTTGAACGTTAGATCTTCCCTTCCTTTTCTGCAGTTCTCTCTTATGTGTTTGAAGACTGTTAGCATTTGTGTCTCCCCTCATTTATCTAAATCTCTGATCATTCTCACTGTTCCCTATCTCCTGCTTTAGTGCTTTGCCCAGAACTGCACGTAACATCCCATCTAATGCTTTACTAATGCCAAACTACCTTATACACTTGACAGATTACAGTTCTCTTCATACATCTTAGTCTGGCTATCTTCTTTTAGAACAGAGAAGTAATGTGGCTGGTATGAGTGAAAGGTGGCATTACATCTTACTGGAACACTAAAAGATTAGAGGTTTCAACTGTTCGGTACAGAGAGAGCAGCGTGAGTGCCAGGGAGATGAAAGACAACATTCGAGTCTACAGAGTAACAGACAACTCACAGGACTTTGACTAGTAAAATTAAACCCAGAGTATCAGTGGAAATCATTGTATGTCAACAGAAAACAGCGTGAAATGTTCTTTAAGTGTCTGACTGCATGAAATACTGTTATCCCGAATTACTCCCCCAGGGCAGTATTTGTTGGTCAACTCATGTAAACCTTCCATAAGACTTCCAAAATAATAGATGATGACTGTTAACACAGTAACTGCAACACAATGAAGCAGTGTTATGTACCAAGCTAAAAATCAGTGACTATGAATGTTGTTTTGGTGGTTTTCCTTTATGTAAACAGAGTATGGGACTAAAGAATATTATGAAGAGTTGAAGCTTTGCTGTGGCAAATTTGCCAAAGCTTAAAAGCAACAGTCAGTGCAACTGAACATGATCAGAAATGCAATGTGGAAGGTATTCACAGAAGCTGGGAATTAAGGACATCCTAACGGTACATAAAAAGCTGCAATGTATAAAAATGATATAAATTCTCTATCATACACATGGACACGTATGCATATGGGTTAAAAGGAGAAATATGTTAGCCGCTACGATTTAACAGAAATTACAACAGAAGATGAAAGATTCAATGAAACAAAAACAGTTAACAGGATTAAAGACAGAAGATATTAAAAGTAAAGAAAAATAAAATAAAGTCTATAAGGAAAGCTCCATTCTTCATTTTGCTTTTACCTTTTCAGGTCCCCTTGTCTTCTCTTTTGCTTGCTTTGTTATTTGGTTAAAGGACATGACAGCTGGTGAGGACTCTGCTCAAACGCTGAGGACTCAGCATAGTGCAATCCGTAGAATCATTCCAACTTATATTTGGATATATAAAAGTTCAAGACCTCCCTGGTAGAAAGGTGATCTGATGGCAGTACCACGTTACCAACTTGACTTAACACTGCCATATATGAAAGGATAGGGGACCCATACAGTGAAAAGTTTAAGAAAATGAGAACATGTTCATAAGAACACCTAACAGAGTCTGGAGGCAGTAAAGCTGATGCGTCCCATATTGCACAGAAGTGAAAGAGATATGTGAATGAAAGCACACCACGGAGCCCACCACTTCATTTAGATGTGCATGCCCTGGGCCTGGGCATTAAGATATGGGACAGCCCAGGACAGGTCACAGCCTCCAGCACTACTCTGGGCTTTCTGGAGCAGGATATGGTGCAACGGACACTATACTGGACAGCACCCATACCATCATCAGATCATATGACTACCACCACAGCCAGTATCCAGTATTGCCTGTGCCAGCACTGAAGTTCAACCAGGGAATAGTGTGTTGATGATCCATCAAGAGGAGCATCATGGCACCATCCCCACAGTGAGTGCTTCAAGCAAAACATTTATCAAAAATTGCATGAATATTTCTGATGAGAACTACAAACGGAAGGTGTGAAATAACACAATCTCCTGGTTCACTTGTGGGAGGGTGAGAAAAACGTTTCCTTGGAGAAACTGTGGGAGGGTTGCTTCTAATCCTGCAAGGGCTAAGTAGGTAACGCAGCCTCCCATTCTCTTATGTCACACTCCCCTAAGTTGCAACATCAGCTAGTCTTCTACCCATCCACAGCCCTGAGAGTCCCTTGCCTTCACAAAGCACAAACATCTCCAAGTGCTGGAAGTCTGGCTTTTTGTCTTGTGTACGATGACTAGTCTGTAGCAGACTACTACTGCTTAAGTCTGTGATGTCTTCTGAGGTCTGCGAAGAGATCACTCGTAGGCACACAGCTACATGCAATGATGTTCAGGTAAGGACATGGTGAGGACGGGTAATGGAGTGCTTGCCTAAAAGGCATGGATGGTTGAGTGCTGAGGGTGGAAGAAAGCGAAAGAAAACGAAACTACTGGCACTCCACTGCTTTTTTATATGTCATTAGCAACACAGCAGAAGACACCACCTGTTGATGACATTTCTCAGTCTCGATCTAACCACCCCAGGAAGCCTGGAATTATCATTCCCCTTGGCAACGCAGCCACTGATGACACCCCAGACTTGGATGGCATCCCTGTATGCCCTGACCACTGGCAGAGGACTGTGCCTACATCTAGAGAACTGATCCCCCTGCTTCTAGTCAGGATAGAAAGGATCACTCACATTCTCACAAAGTTAATGACACACAGCAGGCACTCGTAACTTGAAGGCCACTGAGAACACTGCGGTCCAGCATGCCCCAGTGACAGCACTACCTTGCAGTAAGCTAACCTTGCAGCAAAATTTGTTCCTGCATCCATTCTGATGCAGTATGTGGCTAAATTAGACACGTGCTCCCTTGTTGGGACAGACTCTCATGACTCAGAGTCAAAAAAGGTCAAAGACACCAGTCCCTTTAGCTACACAACCCTGATCCATTCCCAAAGCAGGTGTGTTTTGTACACTGAATGGCAGGGACCATACAGAAAGAACAGCATGTTGTTGTGTTAAAAAAACAAAACCAAAAGGCTATTGTAATCTTGAACACAATGGACCAGCACTAGTACCAAATCTTTCTTTTTTCACTTTGAGAACAGAATAGAATTCTTCTAACAGTATTCTGATACGTCTTTTCCTAGAATATGTGTGTGTGTATATTTATATCATTCATATTTTTCATATTTTTAAATAGCAAATGACTCCTTAAATACTTTCTAGCATCATCCTACAGCAAGCCTAGAGCCTTTAGATCTGCTGTACAAGTGTCTACTGCTTGATCTAACAGAGTGATAGCAACAGAGATTTGCTAACATCTGTGGAGATGAGATGCATAGCTGGGCAGTGAAACAACAGGCAGCAAAACAAAACCTCTGCTGGTAGGACTTTGGAGGTACTTGCTGTCAGAAGAAAGATGAGATGTGGGAAAGCTGGATTACTTTCTAGGTCCTGGATAAAAATCAGTGCTATCAGATGTAGACTTACACTCATTTCTTACAGCCATAACCCTTTATGACCCTTTTTCTCCAGCTTCTTGAAGTCTGGTCCTAATCAACAGTTCTCCATTCCAGGCTGTACTTCTTGTTTACCACACCCCAGACTTCAGCCCTTTAGTCTCTCAATAAAGTTCTGGTATCGTTGTCTCACCAATCTTCATCTCTCTTAAGCAGTTTCAGCCTCTTGCTACTACTGTCCACTATCTCCAACACTCTCTGTCTTTCTAACAAGACATTGAGACTCCCATCACCCTTTCATTATCAGTTTGCTTGTAAAACTAACAAACAGAAAAGCTACTTGCTCTCCATCTTGTTCTTCCAAAAGTTCACACCTACCATTCTGTTTGTTCCTGGCCTCATTTTCTCATCTTAGACTACTCACTTGTTTTAGGACTCCTCAAGTCTGGGTTGTCCTTTGGACTTGTGCTTCTTGTTAGAGCTGTTTCTTCTCCTCTTAGTTCCTTTCTCCCACGCACCTTGATCTCCCCCTAAGCTTTCTTTTCAGTCCCAATTTGCCCTCCAAAAATTCTTTTTACTGCCTCTCCACTAGCTCCAATTGTCAAGGTCATCCTGTTAAGTGCTACTGATTGACTCTTCCAGTCACTATCTACACCGCAGCAACAGCTAGGATCAGCTAACTCCTCTCCATTTCTTCATCTCAGCTCTCTAAACTCTTTCTTATAGGATTTGATTCAGACAGCTTCCACCTCCATGCTGCTTAGCCACTAAATACACAGGGGCACTGAAGACATGTTAACCCATTCCGATGCTTGGACACAGCAGGATGTCTCTGTAATTACAATCCCTGCTCAGCCCCTGAAGCACCACAGAATCACAGAATGGCTGAGGCTGGAAGTGACCCCTGGAGGTCAACTGGTCCAACTCTCCTGCTCAAGCAGGGTCACCAAAAGCCGGCTGTCCAGAAACACATCCAGACAGCTTTTCACAATCTCCAAAGAGGTAGTCTCCACAAACTCTCTGGGCAACCTGTGCCAGCACTCAGTCATCCTCACAGTAAAAAAAGTGTTTCCTGATGTTCAGAGAGAACCTCCTGTGTTTCAGCTTGTGCCCACTGCCTCTGATCCTGACACTGTGCACATTGAAAAGAACCCGGCTCCATTCTCTTTGCACTTGCCCTGCAGACCTCCATATACATTGATAAGATCACCCTGAGCCTTCTCTTCTCCAGGCTAAATAGTCCCAGCTCTCTCAGTCTCTCCTCATCACGCTGTAAAATAACATAGGAAAGAAGAATCAAGACTGGTCACTAAAACAGAGGCTAGGTTGTCTGGGAGGTGAAGGGCAGGAGTTATGTAGCTGACAAATGGAATTGTTGGAAGTCCGATGATCATTAAATCTGATCCTTTTTCCTCCTTCATCTTCTTGTCTCTGCATGTCCTCCCTTCCATAAAAGCTTTCTCTTCTTCATTAGTTTTGTGAAGTGTGTGCATGTGAGTGCAGGCACACGTGTGGTGTGGTAAGCTGAGAACTGACAAAGGATGAAAAGCAAGGTGCCTGATTACGGAGGAAGTAGCTGACCGACCGGACAAACCTACGGCAAGCTCCTCCTGGAGCTGGAGCTGCATGGACTTTTTGTAGTTCACAATAGGGAACACAGACTGTTTTTACTCAGACAAGCTGGTGGACTGAGGACTGATTGAGGTGGAAGTTTTGGAAAAGCTGTGTAAACTCTCACAGAAAGGTGAGGACAGAGGAGGTCCAGCTGATGAAAGAACAGAGCATAAGTCTGTTCTAAAATGCAAGAAACTGCTGAATTTGGCAATGGTTCTTCAAAGACTCTCTACACAGAGGTTACAAATTACAGTTTTACAAACTGAAAAGGTAGATTTTCAAGCAGGTTAAATCGGAAGCCCACTGCTGACAGTCACCTTCCTTGGTGAATTTTATGTCTCTTTCCTGGAGGTGCCAGAGATTCTTAAAGAGAAATCTGCCCTAGTTTTTCTTTACTTCACAAATAAGATTTTTCAAAACCTCACCAGGTATCTCTCATGCTTAGAGATATCTGGTGTGTAACATTGTTTCCTGAACTAAACAATGTCACAGCAAATTGAGAACAGATTTTACAGTACAGAGATGATGTTAAGCATCACCTTATGTTAAGCATCATTGTTATGTTACTGGCAATGTTACAAGCTCTTTCTATATATTTTCTTTCTATATTTCATAGATTCATAGATTTCTAGGTTGGAAAAGACCTTAGAGATCATCGAGTCCAACCGTCCCTAATCCCCATTAAACCATATCCCTAAGTAGATCATCCACCCTATTCTTAAACACATCCAGGGATGGGGACTCAACCACCTCCCTGGGCAGCCTATTCCAGTGGCTGACAAACCTTTCAGAGAAGAAATACTTCCTAACATCCAACTCCCCTGACTAAGCTTATACCCATTTCCTCTTGTTCTATCACCCATCACTAATGTAAAGAGCCCTTCGCCTACCTCCCCACCATCCCTTCTCAAGTATTTGTAGGCTGTAATCAGGTCTCCCCTCAGCCTCCTCTTCTCCAGGCTAAACAGCCCCAACTCCCTCAGCCGCTCCTCATAAGTTTTATTTTCCAGCCCCTTGACCAGTTTAGTCGCCCTTCTTTGGACTCGCTCCAGGAGCTCAATATCTCTCTTAAAGTGAGGGGCCCAAAACTGGACACAATATTCCAGGTGCGGCCTCACCAGTGCCGAGTACAGGGGCAGGATCACTTCCCTATTCCTGATGGTCACACTATTCTTGATACACGCCAGTATCCCATTGGCCTTTTTGGCCACCTGGGCACACTGCTGGCTCATATCAAGCCGGTAGTCAACCAACACCCCCAGGTCCTTCTCCGCCAGGCAGCTCTCCAGCCACTCTTCCCCGAGCCTATAGCGATGCCTGGGGGTTTTATACCCCAAGTGAAGGACTCTGCACTTGGCCTTATTAAAGCTCATGCCATTGGCCTCAGCCCAACTATCCAGTCTGTTCAAATCCCTCTGAAGGGCCTCCCTACCCTCGAGCAGATCGACACAGCCTCCCAGCTTGGTGTCGTCCGCAAATTTACTGAGGGTGCATTGAATCGCCTCCTCCAGGTCATTGATAAAGATGTTAACCAGAACTGGACGCAGCACTGAGCCCTGGGGAACCCCACTGGTGACCGGCCTCCAGCTGGATTTAGCCCCATTTACCACCACTCTTTGGGCCCGGCCATCCAGCCAGTGTTTAACCCAAAGGAGGGTGTGCCTATCCATGATCTATTATAATCATGTTAATATTGAGATTTCACAGAGTGGTCAAGAAGAATTCTACATAATAAGCACCAAGACAATTTTAGCTTCATATATGTTAATACACTAAAAATTACTCAGGTCATTTACATTTCAGTGTCTGGAAGTTTAGTGAGTTTTCTTTAGTGCTGGAAGTTAAAGATTCTTTAAACTTGCAGAGAGAAAAGGAGGTGTAACTGTATAAACTAGCAACAAATACATTCTGATTTTATGGAAAGTTTTATTTACTTACCACTGGCTTGGCTACATTTGAAAGAAGTGCTTCAAGTGCTTTTGTTTCTTCATCCTTTTCTTAAAAAGCAAAAATCAAAGCAAACAAAAAGTACCCATGAATATTGTTCAGTGACTTTACCGTGAAATAGCTCTCCAAATTCAACAATTGCGCATAGACTAAAACACGTATAAAATTGAACACCTTGCCAACTTGCATTCATCCGGAGCAATGTAAAACCAAAGAAGAAGTAGTTGTTAATACAAAACTATTTCTAAATCTGTTCTATGATTTAATGGAATACAGAAAGTCTGCTTATCTTTTATTAATGTATAACTTTAAACAAACTACTGCTCTGGAGAACTTAAGCTCTTGGCTGAGATACTTCCTATAGATTTCTCATTGGATGTAGATGCAGTCAAGTTACAGTACTTTAAATATGTTATTGCACATCATATGGAGGACTACTGGTAGGAGTTGGCTTCCCTCAATTGCAAAGGCAAACCTCAGCTTAGCCTACAGTTACATCTCAGGGGAAGAATCTAAGGTGTTTTGTTGCAGCTGAAGGTATAGTTGAGCATTACAGAGGACTCAGTAAGTTTATACAAAGTGTTTTATGTGCTTTCTCTCACATAATATTAAAATTTTATTATCCCAATAATCTAAGTGAACAGGCTAGTCAGTTTTGACGGTGCGGCAAGGCATTTTAGTTCACTTAACCTGCCTTAGAGTAAAAAGAAAAATAAAGTGAAAAGAAAAATAAAAGAAAAACAAAGCCTGATAAAATTATTTAAAAAACACGTCAAATCTGTTTATAACTGTATATTTCAAAGTTTATAACTAATTAAACGCCTTTCTGACTTCTGTTTGTTATCACAAGTCACAATACAAAATTCTACAAAATGTCTCCTGAAAGAAATAATTTTGAAAAGTGGACTTTACTATTTTTCACATAATAGACTTCTAAGGAATCGTTAACATAATTTTTGTAACACATGTAAGCAACAGTACATTTTATCACCTGTGCCTTGGTAAAGTTATCTCACAGATAAATACCAACTAACAGAAAGTTAACAGAAGCCAAGACAAATGCCACCCTGGCACTACAGTGACAGGTATTCATACAAGTTTGGAGCAACAGTTCCCAACTTCTGAATTCAGGTTGTATTTCAAAGGTGTCCCCTGGTACTAAGCTTTCACAGGGTATCATCTACACACGTTTTTAAACAGCTCTTTTAGGTTGAGATTTCCTCGTCTTAGTTAGACATACTTCCTTTTGGTAGTACATTCCTTTTGGTCTACAGCAATCTAATATACATTGGCAGAAAATCATCATCTCAAAGCAAACTTCAATGACTTGAGAAAATCATGGCTGTTTCCCTTCGGCATTACTAGCGACAACTCCATGATCTAAGAAAATTGTACTTGGCTGACGACAAGCCTTTGACGTTATGTTCTGAATCTGACATGCTATGCCAATGACCTGAAAGTTGCATAGTGACACATCATCAGATTTGACAACAACTGTATGACCAAGACTGAATGAATTCAGTCCATTTATAAGATTCACAAGCTTTCTGATGAAATCAAGGTATTAGTGTCTTAGAAATCATGAAATCACACTGACTAGGGTGAGGACTAGTCTTTTTCTACAAAGGCCTTTCAATAATGAGTTGGTAGAGAGAGGCATTATGTGAATTTCATGTTACAATGGTATCTCTTTTACAAAATATTCTCTTTTAACAAGTTGAATGTAGGTTTCCTGTACCAAACAGCTGTTTTTTTTCCCCATGTTTTCCGCAATATCAAGCAGGCCATCGATATTCAGTGATTTCGCAAAATGTAGGCACCAATAACTCTGGATAAAGCACAGATTTTTCTTTAAATGTTGTCACGAAGTGTGACCAACAAGATTTGCTCAAACCTGTATGGAGACTTGCATGTCAGTAGTTTCGTTCTCTTAGACCCATCGCTCCAGTGCGAGGTGCAGGTCGATTGCCTTTAACTCCACTCTATGTAAGTCAAGGCAGTTACAGGCTACTCTCACCTTCAGGATTGTCAAAGTGCAGTGCTCTATCCACAAATGCTATGCTCAGCCAGACAATCGATTTGCATGATATATATAGCAGCTTTCCAGTACCTAAAGGGGGCCTACAGGAAAGCTGGAGAGGGACTTTTTACAAGGGCATGCAGTGATAGGACAAGGGGCAATGGATTTAAACTGAAAGAGGGCAGATTTAGGCTAGATATAAGAAATAAATTCTTTACATTGAGGGTGGTGAGGTACTGGAACAGGTTGCCCAGAGAAGTTGTGGATGCCCCATCCCTGGAGGTGTTCAAGGCCAGGTTGGATGACGCTTTGGGCAACCTGGTGTAGTGGAGGATTTCCCTGCCCATGGCAAGGGGGTTGGAACTAGATGATCTTTGAGGTCCCTTCCAACCCTAACCATTCTACGATTCTATGATATTATTTTTATTAACACTTACCTTCTACTTCTGTGTCTGTCTGAGAATTGCTTTTTCCTTTACCCAAAGACTTGCTTTTGGTAGAACCTGTGCTTATACCAGTTGCATCCTGTCCTTTTGTAAGTCCGTTATGTTCACTTGTAGGAGAAGGACATTTCTGAGGAGACGATGGAGGACTGTTTAACTTATCCTTCTGAGTTCCATGTCGATCTTTCAACTTTTTTTGTAACCTTTCATATGTTTTACTAGACCTTTCGTCTCTAAAGTTGGATCTTCCATGAGCAGGCAGAGTATCTAAATGAAAGAAAAGAAGAAAAAAAAAGAAAAATAGCCACTAAGGACAGAATGTAATTAAAAATCTATTTAAAAATGCTATACGCCTTAAGTAGGTGCTTGTGTGTAAAATTACATCTCTACTGCTATCGGAAAACTGAAATGTCCAGCAGGTAAACTAATACACACTAATTAGACATTAACAACATGTTAGGGGAGAAAGCACAATCTTTCCTTCCCACATGTTTTTTCTACTTAAAAATTATTCTTAAAATGTTTCTATAATCTTCCTTGAGCTGTAAGGTACAGGATAAAGTCAGCACCAGAAAAACGTGCTACTTATACGTGAGGAGGTTTGCTCTAATGCTGAATAAAAATACAGAAGTTTTAAGTTTTGCTATGCAACTAAAGCTCTATTACTTTAATGGTGCTTCAGCAGAAATCAACAGGGAAAAACCCCACAAAAGCACAGAGGAACTGAAAAACACTAAAAGACTGAAAATAGTTAGAATGTGGCTTTGGAAAAAAGTCAGTACCGGACTACTGAAAAAAATTAAACTGCAAATTGGTGAACTTGTCTGCCCAATTCTAACATTTTTACCCATTTCACCTTTATGCTTAGAAACAGCTCACTGACTCCAGACTTTAAACCAGTGCACCAAATGGCACCACCTCTTTCCTCAGCATAATCCTATGTATGATAAATGATGAAAGCTTTCAAAAAATTCCAGCTTCAAAACCAGCACAGAATTTGTCCATTTTCATGTAAACTGGATTACTCAGTCTGAAGAATGAAGTTCATTATTTGTTTTTTCTTACGTGCTAGGAAGTATAGAAAACAAGATCAAATAAAGACTTCCTTGCAAGAAGGATAAAATCACAAAACTAGAGAACTTTTCAGTTTCTGTTTCTTTAGGTCAGTTTAATTCCTGCTAAAATTTAAGAGCACTACTAGCTAAGCTGTAACTATTTACAAATTTGATTTTCAACTACCATTAGAGATTTAGGTGCTCTTGTTAGAGAACTACCATGCTCTAAGTGCTTCTGGTTCCCCTCTTCTCCCCCCTTAAATTTATGTTCCTTGTATAGGAGCCTAACTGTGGCTATGGCTTTCAGAAGTCAAAGCCCAAAGTCAGTAGTCTAAAATAAAAAATGGAATCTGTAGCAAATATGTTACAAATTAAAGCATCCCTAGTCTTCCAATTCCCTAAATCCAAGGGCATCTTACATGTATATTTAAAATAAAGCAAAAGCAGAGAATCCTACTTCATCGAGGTTTTTTGTTACATTAGCAGTTTTGCAAACTATCACTGAACTCATATTTAAACAGATAAAACCTAGCAGCAGAAATCTAAAAAATATTATTCCATTAAGAAGTACTTTATGCATTTAATTATCATACTTCAATCTCTTAGTTTAGCAAACTAAAAGCAAACAATTGCCATCTACATGAAACTGAGAAATAAAACTATAAATAAGCACCCAAAGAGCACCTAATAATGTACTGTCATCAAAGTAGTGCAAGGAAAATCACAACTTAAGAACACAGAAACATGAAGAATTCCAGCAAGATCAAGACATTGGTGTATTCTTATCTGACGGTTTTGTACATCATGACTATTTAAGCACAGTGACTACATGAAGGACATTTTTAGATTATTTTAGGAGTATCACAGAACACTGAGGATCTACGCATCTACAGCGACATGACAAAACTGTGTTTAGTCTCCCCTCCACAGCTTCTAGCTTCTTTCTCTAAAGCAACCTGGCACTGCTCTCTGAAGTCTTTCAAGGTCAGCACCTGTTTTATAGCAGAAGTTTATCTAAAGAAAAGCAAGTCTACCAGAAATGTAAATATTAATCTAAGAACCCAACCCTGAGTTGTTAGACACAAACACTTTGCCACTTAACACTATTAAAGGCAGATGTCAATAGCACTACCAAAGATAACTTCAACTACAGTATTAATTTTAGGTTGGTGGCATGTGATTACTCAAGTTGGACTTCAATATGGACATCAGACTAAATGCATACAGTTTTATGAAAAATAGCCATCTTTTTTTCATAATGAATACTAAGAACTCCTATTTCATGCTTCAAACAGGATACCTGCAAGACATGATATCTCACAACAGTGCTCAGATATGGGTTTAAAAGTTTAATCTCAGGGGAAGACATCAACTGAATTGCTACAAACACTTCCTGCATTGCTTTCCTGGGCAAATCTATAACTGATAAACATAAGAAATAAACTGTATGTTTAGTGGATCACTGAATACACAAGTCAAATGGATGAAAAGAACTTCTTCTGAAATAATAAGCTTCTGTAAAAACAAGACTGGTATCCTCATAAAACTTTTGTGCATAGCTCCCATTCAGGCTCTAAATCTTCCTTGATAAAGCCCATACATCAGCATAACATGCTGGAAATGAATAGAGCGTTATTTCCTTTGGTAGAACTTGCAATATCGATAAGCTACTTACCCAGATCCCCGTAGACCTGTGAGGTGTGATACTGTGGAATGTACTGCGTTGCCATGTCACCGGCTCCGGTCACGGGTGAGTATATATGGCGTGGTGGAGGGGGTATCATGGCTGGAAGAGGAAGGAAGCCAGGCAGTGGGGGATGTGGAGGCCTGTGTATCACTGCGTGACCACCAGGATGAAATTCTGGAGCCTGGGGAACCACCACAACCCTTCGAACACCATTATCCTCAATAACCTGTACAGTGAGAGACACCACACACCAAAACAAAGAAATGCTTAGTAAAACAAGCAAAGGAATTAATGTTTGGAACGACAGTTTGAAAGGTATGTTTTACAGATACTTAAACAAAACTAGCCATGGTAAAACCCTTAAATTTGAAAAAAGGAAAACACAAAGGTAAGAAAAACAAGGACAACTAAAGGGCAATTTATGTTCTTTTTAAACATATTAACTGCAATAATGCCAGTAATTTCTCAATGTGCTAGAGAAAAATATTATTAAAAAAATCTGACTGTAACAACATCTTATAAACAACCAGGTATATTTACGGCATGAGTCTAATTTCTCCCTGGAGTCCTGTTTCCACCCTCATTCATTCACACTGCTTGTAGGCTACACTGATCCTATGATTTGTTCTACAGTGCAACTGGACTGCTCCCTAGAAGTGATCTGGTGGGTGGACAGACTTCACTCTGCATAAACGGTGAGAGAAAAGGCACAATAGTGTCTGGTCTTTGCTCTGTGTCCAACTGTGACGGATGCACTGGACCGCTTAACCAAACTAGTGGTAGTTTGGTGCATGCTCCAAAGGAGGTTAAAGGCCTGAGCTGCAGCTGGGCCAAGAACTCCTCTCGTTCCTGTCTGTTCTCTGAAAACCCACAAAGGAGCAAAGTGAGCATCAATTCATATGAGCTTGGAACACTAACCATACGATTAACACATGAATAGCAGGTGGTTCTTCTAAAACTCATTTATCAAGGAACAAAGTAAGTCACGGGTACAAGGGGTCTCATGCTCACCTTTTCCATCGCATGTAATTTGACTACGAGCCAACCACTTTATTCCATAAATACGACAGCCTTTGAGCTCTCCCTGCTAGGCTGCATGGCGGTGGTCTCCACGGGAGCTGGGACACCTCTCAAGGTTGCTCCTTGAGGCAGAGAGACCTTTTACCAATGGCAGATCTTGGAATAAGCCTGATTTGAGCTCTCCCTGAATTGCAGCTGGATTGCACGCCAGATGACTCTCCCCTTGAACAGGGACACCTCTCAAGGTTTGAGATTCCCTACCTGAGACTAAAAGATCCTTCCTTGCCCAAGGCAGAGAGATCCCTTACTGAGGATCTGTTGCGATTAAGTGATTGATAGCATACAGAATTAATACTAATGAAACACTACTAATCCATGTAGCTACTCAATATTAATGATCATAAACTTTGTATAGATAATTCCATTAGAAACAAATCATTGTCCAAGTCTGAGACTAAGATTGGACCTAGCCACATCTAGGCTCCATAAAGGAGTTTAGAAAGCAGGGGGGTCCACTCTGAACCTCATGACTCAACGGGAGGGTCCTCCTTACCCTTTGCATCTCTGGTCTCTGTGTGAATCATTCTAACTCAATTCTAACTTGATTTTCCTTTGTATGCTTCTTCCATGCAGTAACTAATAGAGTGAACCTTGCTATTGAACTATGCTAAGCTGCACTTTTACAACATCATATTAAAACCACATTAGCTAACGCCTTTGACAGTGGTTCTTTAAGAGATCTAAATCATCCACCCATGACATCAACTCAGTCCACCAACATTAACTCAGGAGGCACTTGCCATACTGCATCTGTCAGCATGCAGCAGCCATTGTCTGCATCAAGCTGTTACAGCCAAAAACCTAGCAGGATGGTAGTCAGCCCTCTCAAGACTCCTTCACAACTCAAGGTAATTTTTAAAAGGATTTTTTTTTTCTC